ATGAGCAACAGGCTTAGTTCCAATGGTCTGCAAAAATAACAGTAGAAAAAGAAATCTTAAGTACACTTAATCTGAACTGCAGTGTCAGCAGGCATGCTCTACAGTTGTACCTCAGTAAAACTCAGTAACAACTGCAGCTCTTACATCTATCCCTTCTCTTTCTGAAGCTGGGACAGCTCAACAGAACTGGAGCATCTTTCAGTAAAACATCTTGTCTGCTTTTACACTACATTCAGAATGTGAGATTTGTTGAAGTGTGAAAAAACTGGCACTGGCTGGGTACTCCAGTTTTGGTGTTGTTTTATACACAACTGTTACTTTAGTAAACATTTATGTAATTCACTTTACCTTACATATAAACTCAATGTCTTCTCTTTCGATGTCTTTAACCACCATGATCTTCATTTTGTTCAGAAAGTGCAGGGCGAGGTCACTAAGAGCATCCCTAAAAACAAGAGGTGAGTACTCAGTCCAAACTTATTGTAACAACTGCATGAACTGCATTAGCAGTAATGCTGAAGTTCTTCAATCTATCTCACAGGGATATAATTAAATCCAAAATATATTTGTGACAGCACTAGCATTGATTGTGAGTGACAGACACAATCTGTCACTCTGCATCAACGCAATTGCTGATGTTTGGCTTCCACTTTCCAGGACTGTTCCCCAAATGACCACAGCAGGCCACAGCAGGTGAGCAAACCAGCACTGACGTACCGCAGAATAGACTTCTGAATCAGCAGCACATTGCATCCAGCCTTCTTAATTTGCTTAACTAAGTTTAGAATGTAAGCTCTCTCTTCACGCAGTACTCTGTCCATTTGAGCGTAATCAGAAACAACAATTTGGTTGTCCATCTATTAAAAAAGAAACATCAAGCATCATGAACAACTGCTCGTTTTACAAGCATCAGGATACGTTCTGATGTTCTTTAATAGCCTGTGATTTAAAGTACAAACAGATTACAGTAAAATGTACTATCAGAAACTGTTTTATGAGAAGTACTGGACTTCTGAACTATTCTTTCTTATACCAACTACAAATTCTTTATATTTAAGAGTTATGAGTAATATGAGCTCTTTACTAGCAGGCTTTCACTATAGCTGTGGAATAGAGCTGACATTACTATATCTTAAACAAGATATGTGTTTTGTTGTTACATTTATATTTTCCAAGGACTACAGCAAAAGTTCCCAGTTTAGTTCCAGTTAAACTTACATCTGTCTTTGGAGCAGAGAGGCAGAACTGAATTAGGCCAATTTTGGCTTTTTCCACTCTTGTTACACCTGTGTTTGCCACCTTCTGAGTCAGGACTAGTCCTTCCACCAGCTCACAGTCATCAATTGTTCCTCTGCAAGCAAAAACAATCCATAACTCCAGTACTTTGGGAAGCAAATTCCATAAGCACATAGGCCTATAATTGCAAATTGTTTCTTACCCCAACTTCTTCACAATTTTAATATCTCTGAGGTCCACACTGCTCGCTGTAGATGGGTCAATCACCTTCATCACTGCATCCACACTCATGGGAGAAAGTAAACTGGAATACTGACACACAACCTAAGAGATTTGATGATGGAAGGGGGGAAGAAAAATAAAAATAATCAGTGATGTGAGATTTAACACTTACCATCAACAGGGAGGAGTTTCTCACTGTATTTTAGTTTGACTTGATAATTTTGGAAAAACAAAATTCCCCTCCCTGTCCATCAGCCAGGTACCTCAACATGGTGTCTTCTTTCCTCTACATGGAAACATTAAGAGCAGCTTCACTGCTGGAAAGAAATAAGCTCAGGGACTTTGGGAAACAAATGTAACTTTATTTCTGTAACTCTTAAAATAATCCTGTTGAGAGTTCTGCCAGAATGAAAACACACTTGTAAAGAAAAGATTGTACAGTGCAAAGGAAGAGAGAAGAGAACAATTTCTGCTTGTTTCAGAGCTATCACCTCCCTAGGGAAAATCAAGAGCTCTGAAATACAGGCATTCCAGGAACAAAGTTTGTTCAACAACCAACCAATTCATCTCCACTTTTTGATGCTGCTTTAGGAACTTCTGTCTCACAATTAAAAACTGCCTACATAAAAAGCTGCTGAAAGCTCTCCCTATCCCACCTGTTTTCTGTTACTGTTTTCATCTTAAGTTTGTGTATGTAGTTTACACTTGGTGGTTAATGTTTGGGATCACCAACTGTTTCAAACTGAAATTCAGCTTCAGTGTGTCAACTCAATCTTGATTAGCCATAGCTTTTTAAGAAGTCAGTTTAGCATAATGCAGCCACTGTCTCAAAAGCAAGTAGATTTGAGATGTGCAGGATTCTTAGTAAGTAAACAGCAGCACAAAGTGGGAAAAGCTGAAAGGGTCAGTTTGTCTGGAGGCATCAAGTTCACATCAGCCATACCTTTGAGTTCAGTGAAGTAGTTGCACTGTTCATCAGGGTTTCCCTGTCGCTCAGTTCAACTGGCTGTGCCATGTTGGTCAATACTTCAATACCTTTCTCCAAAGCTTTCTGGAATGACTCTGAAATGATGGTGGGGTGAATTCCTGTGAATGATATAGAAGGTTGTTAGGTCATCCTTGCAAATCAAAGGTCTTTCCCCCTCTCCCCAAACCAGTCTTATTACTCAACTACAGAATCACCTGCTTAAAGTTTAGTTTATCATCTTAACTCTCTGTCCATAAGAAGTATAATCTGGGTGAGTTTTTATAAGGCAACATTTACCATCTCATTTAGTTACTATTTTCAGTATTGACGGTGATGCAATCAGCTCAAAATAAAAGCTAAGCAGTGAGAATCTTATTCAGAAGTGGGACATAAGCAAAGCCTCAAGTTACCTTTTCATGTTATTTTTTCATTTAACAGCTGCTTTAAGCTTTGTGACACACACAAAGCTGTATGTGGTACTTGCCAGCTTTTGTAGCCAAGACTTTCATGTATAATAGGCCTCATATGTATATTTATATGTAAAATAAATATGCTTGCCTTTCTGAAGAAGTCTGGAACAGGCATCCAGAAGAGCTCCGGCAATGACAACAACAGATGTAGTGCCATCCCCAGCTTCAATATCTTGTGCTTTTGACAGCTCTACCAACTAAATGATGAGTTATAAAAGAGTTTAAATATAATGCTACTTAACTGAAAACTCTGACAATTACAAAAAAAAAAAAAAAAAAGAAAAAAGAGAGGTAATAAAGAACACAGCACTACCAAAAGTACCCACAGTACCAGGACTTCTCTTTTCTAATTTGCAGCTTCTCATCCGCTGGCTGAAGCAATAACAAAAGCCTCCAACAAAATAAAAGCTAAAGAAATCAAGCAGCTTTTCTCCCAAGCTAAGAGGGAGCTGATCTCACCTATCTAACAAGTGAATCTTTCCCCTTTCCTTTAGAAGGGTCCCAGAATGCTCATTTCCATCTCAATCAAAGAGGGCTACATTCAATTTCTCACAAGACTGGACTACTGTATCCTAGGGCCATCAGACCATAATGTCATTTATTTTATTCTTTGACTCTCTTTTGTCCTACTGGTTTGAGACATCACCAACTTTTCTTTTTCAGATAGAAGATTTGGGCTAAAATCTTTTGTATCTTCACACATTTCCAGAAAAAATTATTTCTAAGCAGTAAGAAACAAAGACCTGGAATTCTTTAACATCTTACAATCAATGTGAGTAGGACTGCAGCACTCAGCAGAAAGTCTCTTGCTTTATCACTAATGAGTTACACTCGTTGAATCCACATGAGACATTACAATCAATGTTCTTTTGTCCCAGAAATGAACCTCCAACAAGTATCACTGTGTAAGCAATGAAAGAAGACTTTACCATTTTGGCTGCAGGGTGCAAAACCTGCATTTGTTTCAGGATAGTAGCACCATCGTTAGTGATTGTCACATCTCCTTTAGCATCCTGAATCTGAGAGGGAAAAGAAGAAACAACACTGATTGGAACTACAAACGTTTATCTTGATGTTCGGTATCAGACAGTGACAAATAACCCTGTCAGGAAAACTTAGGTAAGTATTTAATGTACACTTTACTACAAATAACATTAGATCATAAAAACAAGAAGTATTTTACGTCTGGAAAAGCAGCTTAAGACAAAAGAGCACGTTGACTTGATTTACATAAGACACTGCAGTCTCTTCAGCAATCTCACTGCCTTCATATGTTCAGTAAAAGGTTTACCATTTTATCCATTCCTTTTGGTCCAAGGCTTGTTCTGATAGCATCAGCGACAGCTGGAAAGAGAAGAACGGCACTCACAAGCTGATCTCAAGAGCTACAGCCACTCGTACTCGATTCTGAGCAGCGTCTCCCACTCCGAAGCAGCCCCCGCCCCGTTTTACCACCACGGAGTCATTCTCAGCAGCAACACGGTAATAATAAAACACGCCCATTTCGCAGCTTTTCTCTGAAGCGGGTACAACCTCCCGCTTTACCGCGGCAGGAGCAAACAGCTCGTGCCGTAACCCGCCGAGGGCTCGCACCGCCCGCCCAGCGCAGCCTCCTGCAGCCCCCACCCCGCGGCTTTCTCCCCCGAGCGCCACGGCCCCAGGAGCAGCCCGGAACGCTCCCGCACGCAGCGCCGGAGCCCCGCCGGCCCTCACCTCACCTTTGCCGGCGGAGATGTTGCTGAAGCGGATCTGCGAGGGCTTGTCCCGGTCCTGGTACGTGCCCTTGGCCCGATTGCCGGCGCCGCCGTGGGTTTTGGGTCCCGCGTTCTCCGGCATCGCCGCTCGCCGCCGACAGACGCCCGGTGACGGCAGATGGAGGCGGATGAACCCCGCTCACGGAGCCGCGAACCTTCCAGAAGACGCCGCCACAACCCGCTGGGCGCGCCCGGGTCCTGCCGGCCGGCGCCGCGCGTGACGTCACACCGATGGGTGGCCGCGCCGCGCCTGCGCGCTGGGAGCCAGGAATTCCCGCCCTGCAGGCGAGTTGCGCGGACACCTAAAGGCGCTCTGGCGCTTCTAGAGCGGGCCGCGCGGGGTCCTGGCTGCCCTGCAGTTGGCTGTGTGGTAGAGTTGCTTGGGGGTGGCTGGTGTTTGTCTTTTCGTGTTCCTTTTCTGATGGCTAAGAAGGCAGTCTAAGAGCAGAGACGTATCCAGGCCGTGGGCAGAGGGTGTGCCATAGCGATAGTCCTGGCCTGGGTCAGTATCACCTTCAGCATCGTCGGCACAGAGCAATCCTAAATGCCCGGGATGGTTGGGGTCTCTAACACATAGTGTGGTGCTGCCAGCTGTGATAGCAGCAGCGCTAAGACCTGGCTTAACGCTACCGCCATGATAAAGCACTGTTACTCAGCAGGAGGAGTTGAGAAGTGCTGAGCTGTGTGTAGAGCTGCAGCTGGTCACCTTGCAGCCTTCAGGCCAGGCTCTTAGTTTCCTTTGCGCACACAGTGAGTGGAATACATTTGGGCAGGTGTTTTTTCTTGCGTGCTGGACTGGGCTTTGGGTTCAGTAATGCTACAGTATGGCACATACAGTATGGTTTTCTGGTAGGAAATACTGCTAGCAGTGAGCACAGTGCTCAGCACTGCCCTTACGGTACTAGAGTTAGGAGCCATGGCGGTGATTGGGTGTTTTTTCCTCAGGACTCTAGAGGAAATAAAGGCTGAAACTTGCTCTTACAGTCACCTTGTTATACTTAACTGTGTTTGGTTAAAACAAAAGCCTCTCAATATTAAAGGTAACTTAGGGTTGAGGCTTGCTGCTTGCTCCATTGCAGGCTGGAGAACCTGTGTTTTTACTGGGTATGAAGCAAGCTGCTGATCTAAGTTTAGGGTTTCTGTGGTCATTGGCTTACAGGCAATTTTGGTTTGGCAGGGTTGTTTCTCTAGAGCTGGTCTTCAGAGCAGTGCTAGGATTGAGGGCTTAGTGAGTGCTGGTATGTGTGACTGTGGAGTTGTTGGGCTTGCGTAAAGGTTGTTAAAGTTGGTCCGGACAGTGGGCTATGTATAGACATTTCATAGATGCCCATTATAGTAGAAGTGCTAAATCACAGCCTGAACCAATGATTGAGCACCTGGTGGGAAGGCAGGGCCAAACCAGGGGAGCTCAGGTGCATGCAACGTATCTGAGTGATTGGAAGGACTGGAGTCAGGATCCACCCCTTCCCAGACCTCATTTATGGGTTGGCAGTAGGACTGAGGGCATCTCACTGGAGATTCCTGTGTATCTGAGGCTTTCCAAGAGTAAGCAGACTCTTTCTTTTGTTTCTGTGCCTACAGCTGTTGCATTTGAGCATATCCCCACTTGCTGCAGCCTAGGACTTTGTTACTATGCTGTCATTGCTGTGCTTTCAGTTGCATTACAGCGTTAAACTTGTGATTTAATATTGCTTGTGGAAGATTTATCTGAGCTGACTAAACATAAAACTTTGCTGTTAAAGTTTAGTCTCCTATTGGAGTGAAGGCTAAAATTTGAAGTAGGATGGACTTGTGAGCAGGTGCAGATGGAGGGACTGGGAGGATCCGATGATTAGCTTTAGGATCTCCATACTCTTCAGGAGACTACCTACAAGAACTCCTATTTAGTTTTCCTGGGGTTTGGCCTGGGTTTATGGCTAATTTTGAGTTTTGCACTAGGATTCCCGCTAACTGCTGCCAGCATGCCTGGGTTTGTCTTAGGTTCATCAGCACTTGCCTCAGTAATTGTAGGCTGATGCTATTGAGATCTGTCTCCTTGTGTTTGGTTTCACATCTGGTAGAAGTTGTACTTGGTCTGAGTTATATAAATTGTTAGTGTGTATTTAATGCGGTTGTTACATGCAAGGGTAGGATCTGAGGTGGATGAATAAAACTGGTTGGGCCCAAGGGTCAGTGTTTGTGTTAGGCTGTGCTTAGAGCCGGCATGTACAGAAGCTTTCCAGACTTGTTTGAGAGCTGGATTTAGATCAGGGGATGCCTGCACTATATCTTGTTCTTCTTTCCCTCTTATCATCATTTCTGACTGTTCTGTTCTCCAGAATTTCCAGGGAGTGGTGAGGAAGGTGATGATAAATCATACAGTAAACATGTATACACATGATCCTGGTCTTATTTTTTTTTTTTCCACTTATTTTTTTGAAGAAGTACTCTGTCCTTCAGGTGGGACTTGGACCTGTCACCAGTTTTGACTGAATGTGGTAGAAGCGTTACACTGTCTGTGTGTATATTGAGCTGTACAGAGGAGGGGTGTTCAGTTAGTGGCATGCTGAGAACGAAGCTCAGCCCTTTAGGGATGCCTGGGGATCCATGCGGGAGTGGGACAGACAACAAGGTATGGGTAGGTGGGAAGGAGGATGAGGAACACAACTGCTTTCTCCACCATCAACGCAGTGGACTCTCCTTTGGGGCTCCTTCCACCTGGGCAAGCACAGCTGTGTGGTGCACAGGAACAGCAGAATGACTCCTGCTTGTCCATGGCATGCTGTTTCTGTGACTTTCAAGGTTTTATTTTGCTCAGTAGAGGCAGCAAAGTCTAAGTGCAATGAATGTGCTCTGATCTTGAATTCATAGATTTTGGAAACAGAGAAATCTTACTGTTCTTTTAGACTGATTTACCAGTTTTGATTTTCCCAGAGAGCAGTCCCCTTCTTGATCTTTAGAAGTCCGTGGTTCTTTTCTACTCGGTCAGATTGGCAAATTTCTTCCTGGTCATAAAAAGGTAAAGAGCAGATACACTGCTGAAAGGCAGTGTGGGACAGGGACTGTCCCTACTGATAATCCTCATCACTTCTACTTACTGAACTGAAAACAGATGAGCACCTCAATACAAAACGAAGAGTTGGGTGAACAGCAACACAAAGGACGCCTATTTTTCTGTGTCTCTAGAAACTGAAGCTGCAGTTGCACTTACTCAGACTGAAGTCCCTCCTTTCCTTCATCAACTCTCTGGAGGGATTTGTTGCCTCTAGAGAGGGTTAAGGTGGAGAAAAGCAATTGCTGGAGGCTGAATCCTGACGGAATGTTGAGATTCTCAACAGAGACTATTGAGTCTTTGAAGAATTACAGCTTCCTTAAGGGTCCAGTAGCACCAGTGCAGGCTCTAGTTCTTTGGTTAAGTATTTCCATGTGGAATAGTACCCAGGATGATTCCATCCTCTCCCTCTAGGTGACAGCAGAACATCAGTCTTGCTCTAAGGGGTCATTTCCTGAATCTATTAAAAAATAAGTAAAAGCTGCTATTTATTGTCTTGCTTGATTATGTTTTAAAGAGGTTGAAATTACTCTTGATATGCTGCCCTGTTTCAGAACAAACTACATCCTTTGGACAGCTGATAAAAAAGTACCAGGAGTTTAAACATTTTTTTTCTTTTATGAATATTCATTTCCGTGGACACGAAGCATGTTCTCACCTGTGATAAATATCTCTGTATTTCGCAGGTAAAGCATGAACCAGATCCTTCTTGGCAAGCGAGATTGAGCCCACAGAGGCATCCTCATTCCTACCTCCAGATGGATGTAAGTTTTTTGGAGGTGGCTGTGAAGGAGCACGTCTGTGCCAGTGCAGTGCTTGCTGAGCAAGTGTGGTGGTTTAATTTTGCGTCCTGTGCAGAAGAGGCTGTTCAAGGCAGCAGTGCGATGTGGACTCCCTGCCTCCAGTTGCAGTGATTCCAGGGGCAGCTCTCCAAAGAAGGCTGCCCTTTGTAGTAGAGTGGTACAGGGCAACGTACCTTGTGCTGCTGCTCTGCTCTGCTGGGCTTCCTCACTCTCCTGCTTGTGCCGACACAAGGGCTCTGAGGAACTGCTGCTCGAAATGGCATCTGTTGCACTGAAGACTATGTGATCTCTCAATTCCCTTACAGCCCACAAAGCTGTGTGGTGTCTGAGCCTTGAAGAGAACGGCTTTTCTTCTGAGTGGAGGCCTTTTCAGGGATCATCTCTCTTTTTTTCGGAGAGTTTCTTCAGTGTAAATGACTCCGTGAGAACTTGGTGACTGATTCTGAAGTACCGAGTGAGGAGAGGGAACAGCACGCGCCTCTGCTGCAATGCTCAGGGGATGCACCCACACACACTGCTGGTTGTTCTGGCCTTCCTTTGCTTGAACTTGGACCTCTAGAAAGAACAAAAGCCTTGCCAAGTGAGTGGAAAAGGATCTTAGGAACGCATGTAACATTTTATTTTTATTTTTTCCTCGAAGAGAAAAGCCGGGGAAAAAATTGACATAAGCTTTTGAGAAAGCACCGTTAGCGCTCAGTGTGCTTCTCCCAGCTGATCTTCCTTTCATGAGAGGGATGGGATAAACAGTACAGCAAGTTGAGCTGCTACATGGTAAGTGGATTTACTACTCATCACTTTCTGGTAGCCAGTTGGCTTTTAAGATTGTTTCAGAGACATGTATGGGTGTACCTTTGTCATACATCCAAAGGTTTGTTATAGCTTTTGGAGCTACAAAGCAGGATTGGACTGAAAGAGGAATCTAGGGAGGAACAACCAGGCGGAGCAGAGCTGGGAGAACAGCAGCTGTCTGACTCCACCCGCAGATGGACAAGTTGGCGTTTTGTCCCCTGATTGCTCTCCTGGCTCCAGCCAGCACTGGGGGGAGGTCGCTCAGCTGCCTGTGCCTGTCTGCAGCACTGAAACAAAAGGAAATGTCCAAGCTAGTTACTGCTCCTGTTTACAGGAACGACAGCTCTGCTTTTGGGAGTTGGGGAATAGGAATGGTACTGAGTAATATTTTTCTGCAATTATATGTACTTGGATTGTGTAGAAGCTATAAAATAAGCTTCAAGAAAACGTTCAACCTTGCTTTTTAGGGTTTACTTTTGAAATTGGTAGGTGCAGCTACAGTTAAACTTCTGGAATGGATCTTGTGGTGATTTACATTTTCTGGAAGTATTCAGTAGTTTGAAACAATAGCAATATCAGTGTTTTTGAAAGAAATGCTTTGTAAGTGTTGTGCTTGTTCAAGTGAATTTTGAACAATTGACATTTTATCTGTTCTTGGGCTGCAGCAGTTACTTAAAACACACATACTGGGTGGGAATACGGGGCAAACTGCTTGTACACAGGTTGGAACTTTTTGAAGTACAGCAGAATAAAACCATTAGCTTCCTTAACTTGAAAATGATTTCAGGCTGTAGGATTATGGTGTGAGGGCAGAGAGAAGGCCTGTGAAAAGGCACAAGAGGCAGGAGCGAGAACTGGCTGGAGAAGTTGGTTGTGATGAACCTGCATCTTGTGCTGGATAAGATGTAAGGAACTGAGGTTGAAGAGAAATTATGAGGTAGCACCTGGCAAGAGTGTAATTTGCATAGGCAACAGAACACTGTTGTGTGTTGGTGGGGAATGAGGCTTCTGTAGTCTGAAAACTGAGCCTGCTTTACCGGCCTCTGCAAGATGCTGCTGTTTTTATCAGCCTCATCATGGCTGTGACCTATGTCGTGGAAGGCTTTTCCATCATGTTATACCTCTCAGTGTTTGTGAGGCTTTGAGTATTTGTCTTGGTTTTGCTTGCAGTTTACATTTCTGCTCATCCTGTTACTGCAGAATCATAGGGTTGGAAGGGACCTCTGGAGATCATCCAGTCCAACCTTGTGCTAAACCTAGCTAGGTTGTAACCTAGAGTAGGTTGTGCAGGAAAGTGTGCTGTTTTACTGCTTTTTGTAATGAGAAGAGAAATATTGAGGTTACAGCAGATACAGAAATACACATGTAAAGGGGGGTAGATGTGGTTTTGCAAAGAGGAAGCTAGAGAGGAAACTTGTCCTTGTTTTACACATATACATCATTATGATAATGCTAGCTACACTTGTGATATGTACAGAAAATGAAGAGTATATCATGTGCTACAACATCAACTCTATCAATATATTTGTAATCTATCTGTGACCTTCAGGTCTTTGATAATGCACACCAGAAGATCCAGTTCATTAGGACTATCTGGTCTGGCTCAACCAACACATGATATGACAACATCTGTATTTCAGGTTGTTACTTTACAGGTAGTAAAGCTGATGATGAGCAAGGTCAGGTTTGCATGGGGAAATAATGGCCTTTAGTAAAACATGTGATACAGAACTTCATCACAAGGAGTCTATTAAATAATATTGTCTCTCTGAACAGCTGTATCTTCCTGGTTTGTAAGGAATGAAGACAAAATGGGCTCAGTGAGCACTGTAAGATTCCAATTCTTCTGTCCTCCTGTACTTTTGCATCCTACTTCCTTTAACAGAGATCTTCCTTGGATGATCATAACTAGTGGCTTTGGGTCTTTAAACAAGTCAGAGATACTTTTTCAGATATTCTTAGAAGGAACTGGTTAGTTTCCCTGAAGGGAAAGGAATCTGCATTACCAGTGAGATATAATAACTTCTGCAAGTGGTACACGTGAGTTTTAGAAGAACCTCTACTACTGTACTGCATGATTCACATACTTCTCCTGTAGTTTGTTCTTTGCAACATATTTTCCTAGAAGGGCGGTAAGGGGAAGAGTTTAAGCATTTTGTTTGTTGTAAGAGGTCTCGAAGTGTTATGCAAGTCTTTGGTGCTTTGGTAGCTGAAACCAATGAAGCTCTTGCTGTTGTCTGCAAAACATTCCAGAGGAAGGTGGGTATTTTTTGGCAGCAGGTGGGAGGGGCCTTGGCTGTGTGCCTGCCTCTGTGCCCCTGTTGGGGTCGGGGAGCAGGAATTGAGGGGTGTGCAGGTCTGCAGCCAGGGCCTTCTGGCACAAGGGGGTCTCCTACCCGAGGGCTGTGTGCCGGGAAAAACTGGTCAGGCCCAAAGGACGGTTTTTGTGTTAGGCATTGCCTTTTCAGGGCTATGAAAACAAAAGAAGGTGAAAAAGTAGCCTGCAAAGTGTCTAGGCTGCTATGAGAGGTCATCAGTCTTCTGGGAAAGCCGCAGGGTATGTTTACACTGATGAGCTTGGATGAAAGATGATAGCTTGGGCTGCTCTGAACCCTGGGTGTGATTTGCTCTCTGAGGGATTTCAGGAGGGCTACATAATGAACGCTGACTTGGTCCTTGTGCACGGCTTGGAGTAGCAGCTGTGAGGAGAAATGGCTGCTGTGCTCAGTTATGACAACACGTAGAGCTTGCAGGTGCTCCCATGTCTCAGCACAAGGCTGCTGTGAGTGGCCAGGGTGGATGTCAGTGCCAGCCCTTCTCCCTGCTGTGGCTAACGGCCGTTTTGCTTGTGGGTAGCTGCAGGTTGCCGTGTCCCCTGCTCACTGACCCTCAACAAGGTCGAATTTCTGCTGCCTGGAGACCTTCTGCTGCTGAGCATTGCCATAGGTGTTGCAGTGATTTTTGATTTGTAATGTGGGAAAGGATTGCTAAGATGCATCCTCTCAATCTCATTTTATGCATTGTGTTCCTTTGGGTTTACTCATAGTTGAAGTGGAACAACTAATTTTATTTCCAGTTGCAGTATCTTTTCTGTTCTTCCCCTCTAGAACTATCTTCTAGAGGGGTGCAGGGAGCAGCTGTCCAGAGCTGCTGTCATCTCCAGTGCTGCCATAGGGGGAGGAGTAAATTTGCCTGGAAGTGTTGCAGGCCCTTAGGGGCGAGGAAGCTGTGGCTTCATGTGGCACATACAAAATAAAATTCTCTTGACATCAGATAGCACAGATTTATCTTAATGAAAATGTTCTTTAACTGTATACATGAAGGTTCCAAAATAGTGAAATATTGGTGTTCACTCTTCTGGCTAAACACTGTAGCTGGTAAACGTAACTCAGAGATCTGTCTTTAACAAAGGACTACCAGTCTGTAGCTTTTATTTCCATTAATACAAAGAACATTAAAAAAAACATGGAGAGAAAAGAGACTCTTGCAGCATACAGCACCCTTCATTCTCCGAGCCTGGGGGGTTTGATGTGCTGTATCTATACAACAGTAGAAATATACCTTGCTCTCTGAACAGTGGTTGTTAGAGGGAAATGTTTGACCAGGACAAATGCTGCCTCTTATAAAACAAACAAACAAAAAACTTGTAATGAAAAGATCTCTCTAAGCTGCTGAAGAATGGGAATTGTCAGCATCTGTTGTTATTAGTATAGCAGAAATGAGTACCCTGAAGTACGTGTGAAAAATGTCTGCATAAATCCCTGCTGTTGCTAGTGTACAGGATTTCAGTTTTTCAAGTCTCAGCAACATACATATTCAATTCTTTCTTTGCTTGGCTCTATGCCTCTGTATGAGGTAAGTCATCAGCCCACTCAATCTGCAGATGGAACTGAGTAGTAATCTCTTGTTTAAAGTCAATTGTGAAGTAAATGCTGATGTGCTCCCTCCCACCCTTTCTCTGAGGAACTTGTGTTCCAAACCCTGCACTGCCTGTGGTTGCTATTGTGGTTGCACTCGGAAGCTGCAGTTGCAGAAGATGTCACACAAAGTCAGAACAAAGCGATTGTCCTGGCTGTGATGATCCCACAGTGTCTTGCTCTTCCTTTTGGCAGTTCACCTTCGTGTTTCTTTTTCCTGACCAGATGCAGAGCTGAGCAGTTTTGGTCACCAGTTATTTACTGGAGTTGGATGCATACAGCACCCTGCCACTGGGCCCAAGGAGGTCTGTTTCGTGCTCTTTTCAGTAATGCTCTTTCAAAAATGAAAGCTCAGCCTCACTCACGTGATTAAGAGCAGTATCTGTTGTGCATAGTAAAATGCATTCTAGATTCTCGCTCTGCATGGACTGTATTGGTGACAGCTGACAAGGATCCATCTCATGGTGTGAAATGTACATTAGTATATTTGTAGCTGAGCATAAAACTAACTTCTCAAGGTTAATGTACACACTTAGCATGTGAACAAGAACCAAAGGCTTTTTTTTTTTGTTTGGCTGCCTTTAAAAAAATTTTTTTTTTCTTCTCTAGAAACACAGTGGCAATGATGTCAGATATTTCCTTTTTTTTTTTTTTTTTTTTTTGCTGAAGGACTTTTTGATAAAGGAAAACATACCAAAGTGATAGAGATAGCGACCTTGGAATGTATAGAACGATCACCTAGCGCTAATCTGCACTTTGTAACTTTAATGGGTAATCAAATGCTGGGTTCTTGTAGGAGACTAGATGCGTGCTGTACTGCTCACTGTGAGGCTTCTTACGTGCCTTGCACAGACAGATGGACAAAATAATTGTGGAAATGAGAAAGAGTCCACTTGCTGCAGACAGAGCAGCAAAGACAGACTTGTAGCTGGGCTTTGTCCTGAACCTGGCACATGAATTGCCTGCAATTCCTTGGTTTACTGTGTGGCTTAACCCTGCGCTGTTGGAAGCAGTCACACAAATGTGGTAAGTGGTGTATGGGGAGAGGTTATACAGGGTGTACTGCCTCGCTGTGGAGTAAATGTTCTCCAGGACAAGCTGTCCTTCCTCATCGCCTTGGTCACGGAGCATCAACTGATAGGTACGAACAACGGAGTTCGGGGCGCACCAGTGTATCTGTGCAGAGCTGTCTGTGACTTCAGACACCTCTCTGAGCCTCGGCGGGTCTGGAATTTCATTTTCTGTTGACATGCCAGGACATAAGCATGGGGATGCTCTCTGAAGTTCGCTGCACGGCTTCTGAAGGTGTCTGCAAGGGTTGTAGTCACAGGAGGTGTACGTTTGTTGCACAGGGGGTTCCGTTGTCTCCTCGCTGTATTCGTAGTCATCTACGTAGTGGATCCGTGGCCGGGTGGGTGTGGATGCTGACTGAGTGCTGGACTTTGTGGAGTTTGGCTGCCGTAGATTTGTTTGTGGTGTCCTTTCCACAGCAAAGGAGTGAATGTAATGGGGAATGGCATCTGGTTTTCCTGTTGCTGGAGTAGAATGCTCGCTAGTGGGCTGGCTGAATAGGCGTTCCTGGGGAAATGCCATGTGAGTTTTTCTGAGCTCTCCCTGGAGCTGCTTCAGTGTTTCAGTTTGACTCACAGAGCCATAATCCGTGGTCTGGCTGTAGAGCTCTCTGAGAAAACCGGGGGAGGTGGTTAGAGATGCAAGGAAAGGGGGATGGCTCGTGGATTCGGAAACTGCCTCGTCCTCAGGGGAGGAACTGTTGGCTTTCGTGAGCATCAGCTCAGCTGGGTTGGCTGAGGTTGTGCTCATTACACTGGCTTCCTCATTCAGACGAATGTAAGCGTCTTTGGTTAGCGGAGCAGAGTCTGTTGTCATTGCTGCAGTTGTGGTGTAGTAGTTGGCAAGGCTGAAAGCGTCTCCTTGGATGGAGGTTGTGTTTGAATCGGGCAGTGAGATATCCTCCTCAGCCTGGCATTTATTGTAGAGATCTTGCAGTGAAAAAGAAACTGAAGGCCTGTCCCCGTTTTCTTGGGATGTGGTGCAAAAAGTGTCCAAAACCCTGTAGAGAGGACAAGTTAGAAAAGACCAATTCCACAAGAGCATTAACAGGCTCCTCTGAGCCTTTTTATCCCAAACCATTCTTCATATTAAAGAGGTGAGGCCTACACCAGAGCTAGGTTGTGTTAACGATAGTCCTGTGCTAAACAGATGACTTTCCACAGCACTGTGAGCATAGCTGACTAGCTCTTGGCTTTTGTAAGGTGCCTGAGACAAAGCATCCTTTGGTACTCTGTGGACTTTGGCAAGAATGTCTGGGTTCAAGGCAGATTGTGTTAAAGGTTCAGACTTTAATGCTGCACTTCAGAAGGAAACACATACAGAGTTGTAATGGGGTCCCCAGGATCCTTAAACTTGGCTGTCTCAGACTGCAAGAGCCATGCTAAAGCACATCCAGTGTTTGACTGAGCTCAGTTTCTTTCTTCACTCAGTCCCTGCAGGCTTTTTTAAAGAATGCAAATGCTAAGTCCTTCATGAAGAGAGGCAATCTGATTTTAACAGTATACTTCCCTGCTTTCTTAGTTTTGGGTGGTGAAATCTTGGTTACCCCTCCAAAGGAAGTCAGATTATGCATATGCAAAGTGCTTCTTCTGTAAAACTCTTGGAAAGCATGAAAACAATTGAGGATAAATGGTACTTTTTGCAAGTTTGTTCACCGCCTCTGGCTTTGGGAATGCCAGAGCAGGAGGAAATGGTGAACAAAAGTACTTGTAAAGTCTTCCAGCCATGCTCCCAGTGCTTGCCCATCAAGGCCACCTAGCTAGCTCATTTTTTATCTCCAGCAAATAGAGAAATATGAACCAAGAGGGAAAATGAACTATTCTCAGAATCCACAGCTAATATCACTTCATGCTTTTCTACATATGCTCACTGTATTTGTCCGCTTCCAAGTGTAATTCAGCCATAGCTTCTTCCTAAAAAAAAGACTTTATTTTACACTTCTACCTCTTGTGGAAATGAGGAACATGCAAGGAATGTGAGCAACTTGTAGGGTAATGACTATTTGGTCTTCAAATAACTTGCATATTTAAGTTGTGTATAAAGAGGATTACTTCATCTCCTTGAAAACACTTACTTTTGCAGCACAATCTTGGGCGTGGAGAGCAGCCAGGAGAGCCTACAGTCACATAGCAGAGGATTTCCATGCAAGTTGATGATGATACTGTCTGAGGAATTGGTATTCCAAGAATTAAAGGAACTCAGGTTACAGCTAAAAGATGACAAATAAATAAAGTAATTAGTTAGTGCTGAGCTCACCTTTGAAGAATTGGAGCAGGCTTTAGTATCCCATCCTGTGTAAGATACAATGCCAAATTGCCAGTTGCCTTGGAAATACCATATTACCAACACTCCCATTCTGCATTTGAAAGTCCAGGTTGCTATCTGCCCATCTCTCTAAACTGCACAATGTGGCTGCTGTCTCTAGTATATATGTCTCTATATAGCTAAAGTGCTGTAAGTGGATAGCACCCTTAGAAATTGCAGCTGGAAAGGAAAAGGTTATCTCTGCCATCATGCATTCACCTGCACTTTGATGTTATGTCATTTCTTTAGCTTCTTTCTCAGTGTGCTTCTAGTGGCTTGACTTATGCCAGTCATCCCCTTCATGTTAATTACCTCTCTGAGACCATATCCCTCGGCTACTAAATCAAATAACTGATCTAGGAAGACCTTGCTTGCCTTTACTGTTAAACTGCCCTAGCCACAGAAAAAGTGCTCAACCTGAGTGTTCAGAAGGTGCTGTCTAATCTCTGCGACTTTAATTGTTATTCCTTCCTTCTCTTTGAGTTTGGGTCCTGATTTTTAGCATTTAGAACTGATATTTCTGCATATGTTGTAAAATGTTGTGTAAATTTAGGAAACTATCAGCTTTCATCCTTTGTAAAGCAATGTAGACTTTGGAAGCGTGATCAGCTACCAAAAGTAGGCTTCAGAGCATCTGTGCTGATCTCATCAACGCTGGGTGAAGCCTTCTAGTGGCGTGGCAGCAGGATGGATGTTATCTCAGACAAATGGTAACTATGCTATTGCTGCAAGTCTCACAGCAGCTCTGAGCTTTATTGGTTCTCCTGCTGTGTTCGTCCTGCTGCTACAGCACAGGCTTCATGTGGCATACCTGGGTGCATAGTGTTTCTCCATGACACACAAACCCATACCTCTTTTCCACATATGCAATGACAAACAACCTTTGCATAAAAGTCAGCTCCACACACAGTTGTTCTGGTAGACAAAGGCAATGACTGATGAAGAACAACAGAAAAGAAAACAACTCACTTTTGAAAGGAGAGATGGCTTAGGTTAGGTGTGCTTTCAAACATCTCTGTCCTCACAAAACCCAGAGAATGGGAGTCACGGCAGTTCAGCTCTCTGAGGTGAGGCATAGACCTGAAGTCGGTATCAAGACTTTGTAATTTTGGCATCTTTGTCAGGTGAAGAAATCTGAGGTTGGGCAAGTCTCTGGTCCACTCAACTTGAACTGAAGCAGAAAAGAGATTTTTACTTGTTGCATAAATAGTGCATTGCTGTGGATTTCTCCTAGGAAAAAAGAAGCAGACTGAAATGCTGGCCCATTGACAGATGTTAGTGAAATTTTGCCAAGCGGCATACAGAAAAGATGGAACCCTCTCTTTGTGAAGCACATGGATTTATTAGTAACTTAGCTAGAGAACCACCAGATAAAAGTTCTGAATTCATAGTGATGTAAAATATCTCTGTGGTTTTCTGTAGCTATTCCCCGTGGGGAAAGGAATACAAACAAAAATCAGTGCACAGGCATATAAACACTGGAACAATAATTCTTATAATGTTACAGATCTGACCATGCCATTATGGAGCAGGGGAGAAGAAGGAAACAGAGAGAGAAAGGTAATAAAGGCAACCAGAGAGATGGAACAGTTTTCCTATTGGGTGAGGTTAAATGGATTCTCTGAGAAGTGATGGCTGGAGGGCGATGAGAGAGGTCTACAAAGTCCTGAGTGGTGTGAGAAAGGCAAATACCATCCCATTTCTCCTAGCACAAGAAGAAGCTGAGACATGAAACTATGGAGGAACGGGTCTTATACAAAAGTGCTTTTCCATCCCAGGACTGAATCGTGTAACTCACTACCACAAGAGATGTTAGAAATTTAGTGGTGTACTGCTCAGTGCTTAGTGAGGTGACCTAGGGAAGTCTGTACTGCTGCCTGCTGGAATTGGGGCCAGTACAGATGGGAAGAATCCCTCGGTGCTGCCTTCCTTTTGCTCCCTGCCGTGGGCTAGAGCTACTGCTGCCCTGTTCTGGAGAGAATCACTGCTGTGACTCCATGCTGTGCTTCTTGTACCAGTGCTGACCAATAATGCATGGTGACGCCTCACTGAGAGCCCCTGTGAGAGTAGGATTGTTTTAGATGAATAAAACTGCTATGAAGTGAGACGGAAATGCGTAAGGTGGCTGTGTAGGGAGGCCAGGGAAGCAGTGGCCTGGTGTGTGGGAGAACTGGAGCCAACCCTTGGCTCTGTCCCAGCTGGGCAAGGCGTTCAGCATCTCCCCGTCTCAGCACCTCAGTTACAAGTAAGCTGACAGGAGATGTACAAAAAGAAAAGTTGTGCCGCCAGTCGCTCCAAGCTGGGAAGTCTCACTGTGCAGAAGTGTTGGGCTGGTTTTAGTTGCCATATTCTCTGTGCTACTTCAATGCAGCAGTGTAAAGCAGGGTATAAGCATGGGGATAGACAGTGAAAGATTTTGGCCATTTGTCTGGAAAGAGAAATGAATTTCCTTCTGTGCTTCCCAAAGCTAATCCTGGGGCTGGCAGTGGCGTGCTGCGGGATTAGGAGGGAGGCAAGGTGCTGCAGTGATGGGCAGTTGTGCTTGGTGCTGTCCTTGCCCTCCCTCGGGGAGGCTGCTCTGTGCCAGGGCCTCTCTCCAGGATTATGTGATGCTGGAGAGTGCCTCACACGCTCACGTTGGCTGTAAATAAGGTCAGGCCCCGTGTTTACCATGAGAAATCCATAAACTTACTTCTCTCGAGAAAGGTCCCGCTCAGATCAAGCACGCTGATGGTGTTCTCGGGACTGTGCAGGGCATCGCCAGGGGAGAGACTGATGGCAAAAGCAGACTCCTGAATTCCCCTTCTGCCTTCCTGCCCAAGCAGAGTTGTGGAGAGGTTCAGGAACTGTAGCCGGGGGTAACAGGAAAAAGCCAGTGGCTGGATTTCAATCAGTGGATTTCCAGCCAAGGACAGCCACCTCAGGTTAGGCATGGAAGAGGTGTGGCACGATGGCACAGAGGACAGCTTGTTAAAGCTTAAGTCCAGTGAATGAAGGCTGCTGAAGGTTTCCGACCCCCACCTGACTGCCTGGAGAAGGTTCTGCCTCAGTACAAGGATGCGCAGCTGTGGGAGATTTGCTATTTCTGTGCCATTCACCTCTTCTAAGAGGTTGTTGCTGAGATCCAAGGTCTGCAGGGCCTCTGGCAGGCAGATAGGGAAAGCTGTCAGGCTGCTGTTGGTCAGCTGCAGGGTGATCCATGTCCTGTTCTTCCAATCCTTGCAGGACATGCTGGTGAGATTAACGTTCTCCCAGTGGTCTCCCTGAGCCAGCTGGAAAAAGGTGGTGACATCCCTGGATGCTGCAGGCTCTGCTCTGCTCACCAGGCCTGATGCTGTGTTTCTTGCCAGCAGACAAATGATGAGCAAGAAGGAGAGCATCTTCCTGCTGGATGGCTTACAGTTAGTTGCAAGATCTGTTTGTTTTTTGTTTCAGGGAAAGGAAAACATAAATCAGCATTACAAACCAAATTAAAATATGTCCAGGTAGCTACAAGGTATTTAAAAGTGAAACACATACAATTGTTTTCCTGTTGCATCCAGACAGTGTAAGGGATAATTAACGTCTCTTCTATAATTAAGCCTAAGCAAAAAGGAGCCCCTTGGGACATTCTGTCTGAATTATCATGTGATCTTAGTACAAGTTTGCCAACAGTTTTTCATGCAGAAAGCAACCAAGCAGTATTGCACATTGGAGCAGCAGCTGCATGGGAGGCGAGCTGCTTGTCTGGTTGACATTGCAGCAACAGGTGCTGGGACAGCACAACCTGCAGGAGAGGGATCTTGCCATGTTATATGACTTTCCTTTTGTACCTGGTTGTGTATTGCAGCAGGACAACCCCACAGAGCACAGTGTCTTTTCTGGGAAGAGCTGCCTGCTGGGGAGGTACTCAGGCAATGGGGCTGGGGGCAGGTGTGGCTGGGGCTCTGCTGTGGGTGAGATATTGTGTGCTCCAGTTCCAGAGGCAAAGGGAGGTGCTGGTGATGTAGCTGCTGACCAGTGTTTTTGTTCAAGTGGCCAGGTCTGAGTGCGTGCTCCTGGATCAGGGCCTCAAAAGCTTAGGTTCTGAGATGCACTTTATTCAGTGTTATGGTTCCCTCTGTGCTCCCTCCTTGTCCAGCCCCAGCTGGGTTTGTTTAGGTATCACAGCCTCTGGTTCATTCATCCCAGTCCTCTATGAGATGGGTGATGAGAGACATTTTTGATAGGCAAACACTTTGAAAAATACACAACATCCATGAGACTCCTACCAAAGTTTCTGCATCACTCCTCTGAGAAATTCAAAAGCTCAGCAGGAACCCGAAGACCCCTTTGAAAAATACAAGTCCTAAGTGACTTGCCCAAGGCTGTGCAGGTAGTTCTGTGTCAGTGGAATGAATTAATCATAGCCCTGAACTAGTGCTTTACTTATTAATCTGTTGTTTTGGGCTCTCTCTTCATCTTATTAGCTACTTGCTGTTCCCTGAGAAGTGCCAGGTATTGGACAGACCATCGTCATTTGCTCCCATCTCAGGTTTGAGGTAGGGACCAGCCAGTGTGCTTTGGTCACCTGAGTCCTTTCCGGCGTCTGGAGCCGCACTAGAGCAGAGCAGCCTCACGATCTCCCGGTCCCCGGGGCTGCTGGCTTCCCTGCTCCGCGGCACATGGCAGCGGGAGGAAGGGAGCAGCGGGACGGCTGGATCCTGCTCTTACATTCACCCGTAGCCCCCAGATCTAAACCGCGGCCGCTCGCACGTACCTGCCCGAGAGTCCCGATGCCTCGTGCCTCCCCTTTCGCGCAGCGCGAGCTGCCGGGCTCTGTTTTATACACTCTGGTGACTCAGCCGAGGAGCGTGTAAGGTCTGTGTTCTGTTCCCGGCTTCCCCTGCTCGCGGCTCTGCCCACAACGCAGGCGACGTTTGTTCCAGGCTCGCTCCCCCTGCCTGGAGAGGGGCTGGCTCCGCTGCGTTCCCCCCTTGCAGAAGGGTGGGAGGGCTGCCGTCTCTCAGCGCCGCTCCCCAGGCAGGCCTGCTGCCTCCGTCTTCTGCTGAGCACGGGCGTAAAGGCAACGGAGAGGTGCCTCCAGTCCCACCCATCGCATCTTCCGCGGACTGAGGGAGCTTGGGAGGGGAGAGGAATTCTTCTGGATTTTTTTCTGTGGACGGATTGTAACGATGTGGAGCTCTGCTCCATCTGCTGACAAGGGTGTTGATAACTCTGTGCACCAATAAAAGGCTTAAAGTATTTACATTTCTCTGTAAGACACTTGCACTTGGGAGTAACTCTCAGGACTGCTCTCCCAGGACAGATGGCATCTCTCAGAGCCGAGGAGGCCCCTGGGACATACCGCAGGAAAGCTCCCACCCACCTGCTGCTCCTGCAAAATCCCTTCAGCTGGGGAGAGGCCTGCAGCATCACATGGCAGCGTGACCGGCTCCCAGGCCTGCTGTGTGGGGCTTCTCATCTATGTGCTGCATCTGCTGTGGTGTGCAGCTGGGGAAGGTTCCCTTCCTCTCCTTTGTTCTTTCTTTGCTGGTGTAAGTAAGAGCAAGTGGTGTAAAGCCAAGGGACTGCTCTGAGCTAGGGCTATTGGCTGTGTTACAGTTGAAACCATCAGGTCAAGGGCCAAGATGAAGAGCAGGAACTTGAAAGGAATGTATTAAAAGAGGTGGTTCCAAAGCTAAAGCAAGAATGTGGCTGCTCAGTTGCTGCTATAAGGCAGTTGTTAACATTTTCAGGGAGAACAGTAGTCAGTGCTTTTCATTTGTCAAGGTGACAAAAGAGATTGTGATGTGGAAGGCAGAACAGGCCTGTGGGCTTTGGTGCTAAAGTGCAGATAAATGTCTTGCTTTCACAAAATCCTTGACTCTGCACGTATGCAGACCTTATCTTCTATGTCATTCATTATCTGTGTGGGGAGAGGACCTTGAAAAACACCAGAACATCCCCGGATCAAGATACGGGCTTTGAGTAGGACTCTCTGGAGCCCTTGTGGTTCTTTTGGAGGCTGGGTGCAACCTACATGTTGTTCTGCGCGGAAGGCTGTCGGGCAAGACAAATAGTTTCCTAAATGAAGGGCTAATCCCATGGATTAATGTTGGTGGAGCAGCTGTCAGGCCTGTGCTTAGGGGAGCATGCAGGCCAGGTGCTCATATGCCTACAGGTAGCTCTGGGGATCCGCCAGGTTCAAAGGGCAAATTGGAGCAGGTAAAAAAGATTCTGAAGCATTTGCTACAGGAGTGGTAGGAGCAAAGTCTGGTCTCAACCAGACTAGTGGGAACCTTACCTTCTCTTTGCCTTTGCAGCTTCTTAGCTGTAAAGCTCCTTTTTGAGAAGCTAAGAAGCTTGATTCTGAGTGGCTGTGAGAAGCTCTTATACAAAGTAGAGAAGCCAAGGAAAATGAGCTTTTGTTACATTTCTTTTTCACATTTGTCTCTGGTTTTTGGATGCACAGTTTTGGGGCAGGCATTACATTTTTCCCACTCTTTAGCCAAGCTGCAAATTCTCTAATCATTTGGAATATTGTAGCTCTGGTATATCTCAGAGAGCTGCCCAGGTGTGGTGGAGATTTCCCAAGGCAGACAGCAGCCTTCTCTCACCTGTTTCTTGGAAATCATCTGATGGCAGCAGGCAGATTTCCTTTCTCCCTGTGTGTCATTTCGACCTGTTCTCAAGTTGCTGTTTCTTCAGGTTATTGATCTCCTTATTCTGCTTTTCTGGGAGTTGTGGTGTCAATCTGAGGGAATGCTCAGTCAAGGCAGGCATTTTTGGTAGCTTCTTTTTCACACAGATGATCTATGAGGCACAAAGAGCTAAACCAGACGCCCCCTCCTTAGGGCTGATTCAGTGCTGCACAAAACCTCCTTGCCTGCAGGAATGCTGGGGATGGGCCCTGCATTCCTCAGTGACACAGCGATAAGCAGAGCCACGGGGAGAAAAGGAGAAGGTGAGAATGGTACCAGGCTGTAAAGTTTAAGAGATGAGTGTTTCTTACTGGCTTTGGTCCAAGTGATGGCTAAGAATGAAAGTATCCTGAAAAATTTGGAGAATGGCTTTTAAAGCCAACAGAAGAAATACTTTATTGGTCACTCCACAGAGCAAGCACTAGCAAGATGTTTTCCTACAGCCATTAGGGGGAGAGGATTATCTAGCCCAAGGTTTCAGAAAACTGTGGGGCGTGTGTGTTGTCTGTTACAGTAGTGCAGTCTGAAGGCAGCTGTGGAACGCCCTATGGAATCTTGTGGGTAAGGACAGACAGCAGCCATCTGACATTGGTAGCATTTTACCCTGACCTGACATCGGTTTAATTAAGCTTGACATAGAATACGGTCACAGTTGGGCCAATGTATTAGTTTGCTAAAGGTTTTTGATTTAATCTAAACAATGATCCTGTCTGGGACTTTGTGCATTGCACAGACAGAAGATGCTCTATTTCTAAGGCAGCTACTTTCCCTGTGAAGTATTCCTCAGGTAGTCCTAGGACTGTGCAGTTAGTGACTTTGTTACTATAGATTGCTGCATCGGTGGTACAAACAGCAAAAGCAAAGTTAAATCAGGTTATTGCATGAGTAAGGGTGTGGTATCTGGTGTGCATGAAGAGGAAGGTCTGAGTCTGGCTGTGACATGCTTGGTGCCATGGGTGGGATGGAAGTTGAGCAGCTGGCCCTGAGCAGGGCTGTGTGCAGGCCCAGGCAGAGCAGGCTGCTCAGCCTGCAGTTGTGAGGTGCAGAGTGCCCTGTGCTACCCCTAGGCTGCCTACAGGACCTGCAGCTACTGCCCCATGCAGCACTGAAGGCAAATGGATAAGAACAGATTCCTCTCTGTGTTCTTTACTTCTCATCCAAGAGCCTTGTATGTTGGGTGGTACAAGAAGAAACAATGATCTCAAAAACCATGGAGACAGGGCAGGGGCAAGGAAGCACAGCAGATGGTGGGGCTTACGTGCCAGCCTGAATGAGTTGGCAAAGCTGCTTGTGTAGCAGCAGGAAGGCTTTCTGAGAAAGGCAGTGACGCACCAGGGTAAGACGGAGGGAGGGGTGGTAAAGAACGGAAAGATTTGGTAGTTTCACTGGAATTTCAGCCAAAGCATCCTTGACTGGAAGAACGCGTGTTAGCTAAGCACTGTAGGAGTCACGTGCTGTGCTAGTGGGAACTGTGTTCAAAGTGTCTGGATTTTCATATTCAGATAATTTAAACAACAGGTGGCAACTGCAGGTGTTCCATGCGATGGCTGTGTGACAAGCTGTGTGCTGAGTGACAAGCACAGAGCTGTGCTTCCTGGTGATCAATGTGAAGGAGCCTGCTGTCGCCACATGCAGGGCTTCAGCACAGACATGGCTGTGATCCTGACTGGAAGTCAGTAGCTGACATGGAGGCTGCCTGGCAGAGGGCACCTGTGGCACTCACATCTGTGTTCAGCTCTCTTGTAGCTCCCCAGGGCAGGTTGTAAATCCTGCAAGTGTCTGGACTTGGACTATCTGTTACTATCTGTGGTTCTGAGACTCTGAGGAAAATACCTGGCTTGTGTCAAGCAAATGAGAAACAAGTCAGTCCTCAGTTGAAGTAAAACTGGATGGTGCCTTGGCCCCTGTGTAGAACGTGCTGAGGAGAAAGAGTCACAGTGGGCTGGGAAGTAGGCTGTATCTGCTCACTCTTTTGCAAAATATAAAGTCACAGTTTCTTTAAATTGAGAGTCATTCTTCAACAGCCTTCTTACAGGCACAGCAGAAAAGCACAGGATGTGACAGAAGAATGAGGGCTGTCCAGCCTGTGACATTTGGAAATCATATAGTCATTTCTGCAACATCTCCTGGTGATATGGCAACACTTGTCCCTTCAATTTCTTTAGATACCTGAAACCAGTTTTGGTTTGTCCAGCAGTTTTATGAATCCTCCTAACTCCCTTCTCCTGTGCCTTTCTACACATTGTAGGGCAGAACCACAGTTCTTTCAGAAAAGTGGATGTGTGCGGCTCTCTCCAGCGGGCTGCTACAGTTGCGGCTCCTTAGGCACAATGTTTCAGAGTAAGCTTTTTCTATTCTGCATTACATTCATGAGCAAGATAATTTCTACTGGCACTTCAGCTCGGAACTCCCGAACAAGCTTAGAGTTAGATGTTACCACAAAACAGAGTAAGAAGGACAGAAGACAAAAAGAAGGCCCATGCTCAAAGGCCTTTTTAACAAGTAAATAATTTAAAATAATACCTAATGCATTTTTTCAATCTGGAAACTGACAGAGTTCCTCAAAACATTAACATCCCAAATCCAATTCTGTCAAGATAAATGCTTTGTTCTTGGTATGCGGTAGCTCCACTGGCCTTATGGGAGCTATTTATATGGGTGAAGGTAGACACAGCACCATGGTAGTTTTGAGCTGTGTAATCACTGCTTGAGTCATGACAGCTCAGCCTCTAGGGCTTTGGAACACTGCCTGAATATTTTCTGTTCCCAGCACAAGTGTTAGATAGGTGATATAGCTTTAAAACATATTTATTCAGCACTCATTCTATTAAAGGATGGCCTGTTTAACAGGGGCTGGTTTGACAGTGGGAATTACACAGCTGTAACAGAGGAAATTCACTGCACAATGTCCTCGAGTTCCTGTACAATTTATTTATTATTCAGTAATTAACCATCAGAGATGTATTTTTCTTTATCTCTTGTTCTCTTAAGCAGTGGGGAGAAGCAGGCAGAGCTTCCTTCACCTCATTCCTGACCTCCAGTTAGTTTGTGGAACAGTTCTTCATCCAAAGATTCATTGTGGTCTTTGGAGCGGGTTGACAAGAAGATGTAGCCCCCAATATGCTCATGGATGATTTTGCAGTCTGCGCTCAGACATGTGAAAGCAATAGACACGTTCTGATCAAACTCAATCCCAACCTAGAGAAAATACATACAGAAAAAGAAGGAATGGAGATAAACTGCATCATTTTTCTGCTTCAGCATCAGAGTGAGTGTGAGAGCACAGCTGGACCAGAAATACTGTGACAAAGCAGCACCCGTTTCTGCTAACCAAGAGCTGTAGATTTGATTTCTAGGTCTGCAGTACGTTGCAGGTCTGTGGCTTCTTGTTTGTAACAGTTCTGTTCTTTAGAGCCCTCTTGTGGTCAAAGGCCTTTTTGGCAGGCAACAAAAAGTTTCCAATGATTTTTTTTCTAGCGGCGTAATAAGTGAGAACACTGGGAAGAGCAGAAGTGGCACTCCTGACTCTTTGCACGTTTTACCAACTACGTTTAATACCATTTGTTGTTATGTGCTGACTTTAAAATCTGCTCTGGGGGCCAGGTTTTGATTTCCAACTACTGTCAGTTCTAGAATCCAGCAAAGTGGGGTTAGTTACTAACTGGCTTTTGCCTGAGAGGGTGTGCAGTGACAGGGGGAGAACAACAGGTATTGAATTTGATCTCTCCTGGCTCTTTCAGATGGATATGGAAAATGGTATAAGCAGGAACAATTTCAAGGCTGCTTGTATTTATATCAGCTTACACTAGTTCCACACCAATAATGTGCAATTTTAAAGGTGGCTTCAAAGTTTGAAATCTAGTAGGCTGCTGGGCAACAGATGGCTGCACAGAGCATCCAGGAGCAGAAGCACCTTGCTATAAAATGCACAACGGAGCATCTGTACGGGCATAGGAGAGTTTGCAACCTCAGACTGGGGTTTGAAAAACACACTGGGTCCTTGCATCCTCAGCCTGTAACAGAGACTGAACTACTGCAATTTAGAGGATGACACATGAATAGGAGGCATTCTTACAGACAAAGATAATGAGGAGAAATTTACCTTCAAGTCTCTGTACTTCATCCCACTTAAATCAAAAGCAACTTGAATAATCTTGGTAGGTAGATTTTAAACTTGGAGACCTTATAGTTTCCTGAACTTTCACTACAGACTCAATTAAGAAAAAGCCCTATGTTATTTAATAACACATCAAAACACGTTTAAAATTGCCTTTTTTAAACCTCACTATGAAGTTTAAAAAGATTTCCATTGCCTGAAATGTAATGGCTGAATGCTGTGAGCTGTTCCTGTTTTACCTGGCGTATTTCCCAGTTCACATTCCACTGCTTCATGGTGGAGAACCTCCATGTTGTAATAGGGTCTCCTGTGGCTATATCTATTCTTATCAGCCTGTTGTAGGACACCCCAAGCACATCTTCTTTCTTGCTTCCTTTAAACCTGAAAAGAAAACCACAGCCAACTTTTGAGCAGATTTAGTCTGCAATAATTCTTGCCTAAAGATGCATTTAACGTGCCCTTCTGCAAAAGTGCAAAAAAAGGGTGGGAAAATTCACAACAGCCTGGGCTGGACTAGAGCTTGGATTCTTCTTTAAGACAGCATTTGTAAGAAAGCAAAGATGTGGCCTGGTGAACCAGGTAAAACAACAGGGCAGGTAGATGTGGCTGAAGTATTTCCAATTTGTTGTTGTCTGTTTAAAAAGTACTGTTCTGCCAAAATGCATGAATTTGATTGTATTTGTATTGGAAAAGTGTCAATAATATTTTTCCTTGTTTCAACATTGCTGAAATATATTTTTGCACATATTCTCATTTAAATTATATAAACATATAAAAGAAACTATTTTGTGTATCACCATTAACTTATCAAAACAACTGAGTTAGCAAAATATGCACATCTCCGAGTAGTGATAACATCACAAAATAGTGAGATGTCTCATCTGTCTTCTAACTTGAGGTGAAAATGAAATACAATGGTATCAGAATTTCTTGCAAACATAAGTTTCTGAGCTGAACAAAACAAGGGAAAGACTAAGCAGATAAAAAAATACCACTCACAAAAGCTGGAAGAAGTCTAACCTGGCTGCTGCTATATTTTCTATGATTTTGATTGTGCTTTTGAATTTTCTGTCTTTTGTTTAAACAGGTCTGAGGGAGGTAACGTGACCTGGACCACAAATAGCATCTTAATTAACTCTTCCACTGAGATACTGTCCATCAGCTTGCAGAAATAAGGCACAAGATGTTTTGCCCATCCTATAAAATTTAAGGTTCTTGTTGTTGTTGTTACAGAATTAGTGTTGACAGATGGGGCAAAACATCTCTATGTTAGTTAATTAAATACTGACAGGGAACATTCCTGGGCACTGAACTCAAGTGTCTGTTCTGTTCAACTGCTAGAGGAGCCGCGGGCACAGTTCTGGCTGCAAGCAAGCAGCACTCTCCCATGTGGCTCCCAGGGATGGCTGAGGAGCTGGAACATCCAGGCTTAGCTTGTGTTTACCAGCTCTATGTTCACTACTAGCTCATGCTGTACTGGTGGTTCACACCCAACTACTGGGGTTGGGGAAACAGGAGAGTTTAATAGTATGGATGTTTGCTCTTCTATGCCAGCTGGCCTCTATGCCAGAGTATGGTTACCAGCTTGCTCAGTTTATACCACAGATGATTCTTAAGTAGCACTAGGGGAGGTAGTAAGAAATTAAGGAGTGTGCCTCCGAGTATGACTGTGTCAGTACTCTTCATTCCTTTGCTGTTTTGTCAAGAGAAGAGGATGCAGGTCAGATACTTTTGCAGAGCTATGCCATATTCAAGGGAAGCATCTGGGGAAATTGCTGTGAACACAGCAGGACCTTTCTTGTGCTCACTGCTCTTCCAAACTAACCTAAAAGTGGGATTTTGTTTGCTATTTTCTTAAAGAAATGCCAAAGAAATTATGCTCAGCAAAAAGCATGCTTTTGTATTCTAACAACTGAGAAATGGAATGAAAAAAATATAAGGCAAACCTGAGAACATCAACAAGATTTCCCTGTTCTTTTTTTTGGTTTTTTTTTTTTTTTTTTTTTTTTTTTAATTTTTTTTTAATTGTAGAGATTTTATGTCAGGAAGGGTTTAATCTTACTGATGTTATTTCAGGCAAAACCCAGCAGGTTTGTATAAAAGCAAATATAAAAGCATAGTGGAGACTCTCATTCCAGGAATGGAATTACTGAGTGCTACAGCTATAGAAAAATCAGCAGCATGGAAGTTACTACAATTAATAAAGGTCTGTGGGGAAAAAAAAATACTAAGAGAAAGTTTCTATAACAAGGAATCAAATAAATTCCTGAAAATCAGTGACTGCGAACAGCCTGACATCGCTGCAGCAGTGCGATTACCTCACAATGTAGTAGGATAAGCCAAACTCGGGGAGGGACTGCCATGCTTGAATAAAACGCAGCTTTGCTTCCACGAGGGGCATCTGGGATACATTCTGGTGAGCTTCCAGAATACGAGCTGCCAACTGGGAAACACAGCAAGAGAGAAAGATTTCAATTGAACAAAAATATACATGTTTTCACTAAATTAAACAGCATTAGCTCTGATGTCAAGGTATTTAGTGGTCACTGTTCATGCAGTCATACTGCAGAGAGAACCTGGGGATAGACTTAGAGCTATAAGGGCAGAACAGCACAGGAAGGTCTCGGTATTTGGGTTTGTGCTGCACTCAGACTACTTCCAGCATGCCACAAAATGATCTTGTCCTTGTTTGCTGCCCACAGGCCCAATCTGTACTGGGAGCCTGCTGGCAAACAGGGAGGAAGCCTCTGTTCAGTTCCCTCTGCTGTCTACTGGGCAAAAGTATGAGATGGTATTATTAGTGATTCATAGTGTTATAGCACTGCTAAAACAGACTGCTACAGGGTAGCTTGCATTACTAGTGAAATTCTGGCCCATGGCTCCCTGCTGGCCAAGGCAGTTGCAGAAGGCAAACATCTGAATTGCATGTTCATTTTTAATAGGTTCTCCAAATTCAGCTATCCTGGAGTAACAGTTTGTTCTCATTCAGAACCTGCAGTGTCCTATGCCAGAACTTTTTTTAGCCAATTTTTTTATTATTCTTGCCTTGTATTTCTTCTCTGGCAACATGGGCCTTAGTGTACTTGCTCTGGATTGGCTCCATCAATCCACGAATTGATGGAATAGATGGAATACCTCTGGAAAACAGTCTTGCTAGAATGTTAAATGCACTGTTAAGGAGCAGTTCCACACACCTGGAAATGAACTCTTACCACTCTCCAGGTGCTTGGGACACGCTCACAACTGAAGGCAATGAGGGAGGGAAGGAGCTCAGCAAACCCCTCAGGATTTTTTACTAGTGTACCATTTGTTACTCATTTAGGCATCTTATAAGCTCAAGATGCGATGCTCAGGCTAAATACAAATATATTCACAGCAACACAAGTCCCCTTCCTTATGTAGCTGCTCTAATTACTGTGCCGTTTATCTAGTCCTGAAAGCAGACTGTGAAATGTGCAGTCAGCCCCTCTGATTAGGTGATGGGATTTTATGGACAATGCTGAGTAGCATGTACACTATTACTCTGCTTGGAGACTGCATCCTGTGCTCAGGTGGGCTGAACTCTTGACTCAAAGGCACAAATAATTAAATGGAGAGGAAAGAGGAGGGGTACTTGGTTTAAAATGCAGGCAGAATCTTCCCTTCCTTTCTCACTCTGAAGAGACTTTCAGGGACAGCGCCATCAGGAGTATGTGATGAGTGACTTAGGAGGCAGGCAGATGTAGGAATACTTGGAAGAAGAGCTGAGAGAGCTGCCCGGGTTCAATTTAAAAAAAAAGAGATCTCTCACTGAGTATCAAAGGGACAAATGAATAATGCAAGATGATTCTAGTGCATAGCCATCTGGTTTCCAAATGCTGCTTGGAACCAGTCTCATCCTTAAGCAGTCATCTGCCTGGTGTTTGGAACAACCCATTTCCAACTGTAAAGCCATGCTCAGTATACCTGCTTAGACTTGTATTTTTTTGTGTAACGTAGTGAGACAAAGCATTCTGGTTTCATATCTATGCTTTCTGGATCAGAGGCAGCCTGGGGAGACATAGTCCAGTTCTTCATCTTGAGAAATGAAAGGATCTTGTGAACCTCAGGATGATAAGAGCTGTCAGCCATTGTTTTGCCTTTTGAGGCTAAAACAGAAGCAGCCATCCAGCGGGCATACTGATTCTCCTGCAACAAATACAAATGTTGGTATTTCTGGTCAAAGCATTTATGAAGATGGCTCACACATCTTTGTACAGTAAAGCCACTGTACTTAGTACATATGGATACGTAGTTACAATAGTACTGCTGTTCTTCCCTGACTGGGTGAGTTCTGTCTACAGAATCAACCTGCACAACAGTTAGGTTTTAAAGTTTGAAAACCCTTTATCTTGAAAATGTAGTTATTTCTCAAAAAAAAGAGATGCTTTCTTATGCCAAAGAATGTACAATGTAAAACAGTTTTTGCTGTGTCTACAGCTAACATTGGTATGAGCTGCAATTGCAGCTATATGCTATCACTCCTATGTTTGCTAGAACAATTTTGGTATTTCATCCACGTGAATATATCTGGAAAATGGGCTGATGCATGAAGCTACTAGCTGGCAGAAAGAAATCCAGTATTTCTGAATACATTTGATTGGAAATTTTGTGGCATGACTGTTTTCCACATAATAAAATTTTTTACACAGTTTGCATTGATGCATTCCAATGCAAACCAAATACATTTAAATTGAAAGCAAATGTGAGATCCCAATCTTTATCCGTACATAGGGAGTTCTAATTAAGAAAGAGAACAAAAACAAGAACTCGTTCTAAAAAAACTGTACAAAATTTTGTAACTTCTTTGATATTTTTGATAGCACAGTCTTTTATTTTTCCCAGCAAGTCTACTTGGAAACGGATGATAAAGGCAGAATTAATGTCCTTTCCTCCCATCAGCCATTAGATTTTTGTTAGACCACCACATCAGTCTTAAATTTACTGAACATGTAAATAATGAACTCCCCACAGCATTCCTATTTCTCTACACAAATTCTAGAACTGGACTGTGGGTCTTCTAGACATCTGCTCATAAATCAAGGATATAAACTTTCCCTTGTCATGTTACTCACGTTGTCACATCTTAAGTATACTTCATTCATGCCAGCAGCAACAGGAATTAGCAACTTGATTCCAAACTTCTTTGCTGCAACATTTACATCTGGTACAACTTCACATCCTAGATCACAGAAAATGAGAAAGAAATGGATTTATTTAATTACTATCTCGCTAACTTAAGTGCAGTTTTTCAGTATTAATTAGTACTTAAATACTGAAAAACTGCGCTTAACTGTTGCTTTGCTTTAAAATTGAGTGCCAAGACTTTCAAAGATCAAGCCTAATGAAAGCTTTCTGTTCTAGTTCACTGCCTGGCCTGGCTTGCCACGGATATGAATGCTCTGAGCTCAGAGAGCATGTTATTCACTATGGAAGAGACCAGATGTGGCGCTTTCAAGCTTCAGCCTGCTCTTAGGAAATGCTCAACATTTAAAATGGAGTGGAGTTGATGAGACAGAGCATTTTACCTGAAAAGACTTTTTTTCCCCTATTTTACCCTAAGCAACTTATTTTCAGAAGCAATTTAATAGTGAAAATGGGACACAGGTGACATCTGCAACAGAGCTGGTCATTCCAAGGATCCCAGCGATCTCTAGAACTCAGTATTTCATGTTGATGGTGCTACTAAAGGCTTTGTGGACCCAGCAGGAGTCAAGGATGACTAGAGTTACCTTCGTGTCAAGGGACACCAGAGCTGTGAGCTACTTGGTGAGGTTCCAGTCACCCTGACTAGTTTAACCATCCATTTATCTGACCTACTGAGGATGTGCAGATCGGTATGCAGAGCCATCTGTTCACAGGTGTCAATCTGCTTTCTTTTTCAAAAGTTTCTTTTAGGAGGAATCCTGGGCATCACCCATTCCCTGCTGCTGAATATATGGTGCTCCTGCAGGAGTACATGTAGGTGGAAGCTACATAAAATGTTGGTGTGTGCCGTGTACATGCAACGTTTCTCTTCCAGAAGCACCTAAAGCTGGCTGCAGCTATGGAAATCCCCTTGTGTGAAACAAACAAGGCACAGAGAACTTCTTGGAGGTGTTGCTGCACAGAGGTGTACAGGTACAGCATTCTGGATCATCGCATCATCCATACCTCTACTACTACAGAGGTGAGTACTGCCACCTAACAGAGAAGAGAACTATTTGGTAATAAAAGTATCACTCAGAGATCACATTCTCTCTCTGATTCATCTTTAATTGAACTCAGGGGTATGTGCAATTTTACAAGCCAGGTCCAGATAATCTTGTGCTGAATTACTGAATGCTTTCTGTTCAGCCTTCTGAAGATTCAGCCTGCCTGCTCAGGAGTGTCAGTAACTGAAAAAGTAGTTTCAGGACTAAACTGTGCATGCCTTGAGTCTTGCAGAGATCTCTTGATGTTTTCAGTTCATTAATGCAATATAAAAGAGGAAAGAAATGAGAAGAAAACCCCTACCTTTTAGGTTTAGTTTCTCTATGGGTTCTCCCTGTCCAGATTCTTTGTTTTTAAAATAAGATATGGAAGTGTCTTTAAAGACAAACCAATATGGCTTGATAGTTTTGATTGACAGTCTCCTAGGCCTAGAAGAAAAAAAGCAATCACATTTGTTGATATTGAAAGGTACAAAGTGCTAGTTCACTCACCACTACTACTGTACAGCTCAGACTGCCTAGAGGTTACCTACACATGGCTTCAGTTGGGCAACTCACACTTGTGTCATTGAGGGGGAAAGCACATTGCTGGAACCAGCACAACACCCAGGTTGTCCGAGCTGTGTATGTGTTTTTTATCCTAGACTCCAGCTGAATCTTATCTGTAATTTCTTTCCCTCCTTTTATTCCCCCACTCCTATGTGATTTCTCTTATTTTTTCTTCCTTTCCTAAGTGAAGCCATTCCCTTCCAACAAAGAATATATATGTGTGCATGTATGTATAGTTTGTTCTTATACAACAGAAACTTTCCAGCTTTTCCTTAGCTAGGAAATTTGCACCCATCAAACTAACCTGTGTGCACTGAATTGTAATGGAGTAGAGACCATCTTTTTGGCTTTGTCTGAATAATATCTAGCACAACAAAATGTTAATCTTTGTCTAAGTTTCAGAGGTTCTGTAGCACTCCAAGAAGTGGTAATAGTTGAAACCATCTTACTCAACTCTTCACACATGTATATACATGAGTTAATCCTCATTATAAATTATTTTACTTCATTTTGGTGCTTTGCTAAAGCAAACTAATTTCTTTCTAACAGTAGGCAGAAAAATATCAACTTTGGAACTGTAAATTAACTGATGGATACTAACAATTAAACTTAATGGTTGTGCCAGTTCCAGGAGGAGATAAAAATCATAATCCCACTAAAAATCATAATCCCACTAAGAATACTCCAGCAAAACCATGGGGAAAAAAAGCTTAGATTCAGTATTGTGCAAGAGAGAAAAACAGAAGTCTTTGCGCTGTCTTTGTGGAATTCTGCTCTCTTTAGTACTCGCCTTTACATCTGAGATGATGGTATAAATGCTACACAGCTGCACAACAGTGATTTGTTACCTACTCTTGCCTTCTCTAGCGCCTTTCTAAAAGTCCTACTTCAGTCCTTTCTAGAAAATTCAGATCTTTAGGTTTCAATTCCAAACATAATTTTCAAAACTGCCAACTGCTTTGGCTTTCAGTTTTCCAATACAGGGTCAATTTATTTCCCCCCCCAAAAATAAGACTCTGACATTCTCTTAGACTGACAGAATTCTATCACAAGAAGTTAATGAGCACTTTTTTTCAAAGCTTGTTATCATTTCTCTTTTTGAAACAAAACTATACTTCTCCATAATATCATCACCCACCTGAAAGCTGTATTTACTAGTTTGCTAACATAATTTTGAGTAAAAGTTTACTTCTACTTTATTATAAATTATACTACATTATAAGTTATGTATTTATTATAGTTGCATTTATGTGAATACATATGTATATGACATGCAGAAGTTTGCATTTAGATTTATAACTGAGCACATAATTTTACTCCCAAAATGCTGTTGTTCCTTGAAAAGATGTTGTACAGCTTAACCAAATTTCTACAATGTCTTAGATTTAGTAAGCAATTAACCATGTCTACAGGAAATGTTTAATGATGAAAAATAACCACTGAATGTTTTTAAAGCAAACCATTCAACTGCTGAGAAAAAATACACAATGTATTGTTAGAGGCAAGTAGCTGACGGCCCTTCAAATTCTTAAATTCCCTTTAATCCTAAGCCACCTTTGTAATGTGCACGTCAAACACAATTTCTTAATTGGAAATTAATAATATTTAGCAGTTAACAACAGTTAAGCATTTTCAAGTGTAATTTTCAGTTTGCTGAAATATGACCTGTAAACAGAATGAATCTAACAGATATTCCTGTAACAGAAATCTTTATCCTTCTAAAACCTAAAGACTGCTTTGATTAAAGATACTGTAGACTTGAGGTCAGCGTAGTCATTTGTATAACCTTTAAATCAAGATATTATAATGGGACTTCAGAACTGTACTTTCCTCAGTTTTCTTATTCAGGTGAGGTATTACTGAGTTGGTCTACTTTTACTTTTACTCCAACTTGAAAGTCATTTTGATGTTAGAAAAAACAGACTCCACATCTGGTGAGAAAGGGGTAATTATGTTTGTTTTGTTTGAAAAGGAAAAAATCTGCAAGGTTGCCTTCAGAAACCCTTCTCAGGGAAAGCCAAAAGTTCTTTTCCATGTTTCTCATTGGCAGAAATGAATCACAGTGAAGCGTGATTGAGAACAAAACTGTAAATTATTTAGAGACAATGATTGATGAATGCTAGGAAATTACAGAGAAATATAAAGAGCCTAGACTTTTAACAAGCATAAATACAGATGCCACAGTGCTCGAGAAGTTAGAAAGATTTGATGAGAATCTGGCTCAGAAGCAGTAAAAGAAAGATTTGAATAGGGCAACATTAGGCTAGTTAGAGCTAGCTGGTGTATTTGCTCACTTATAACCTCAGGATCTACTGTAAGATTAGAATGCAGTGTTCAAGGGATCTCTTGTATGGTAAGCTTTTTGTTATTATTAGTTTTAATAACTCACCTAACTAGCCTGAGATAATCAGCAAGTTTCGGGATGTCTGTGATGTCCTCCTATCAGGAATAATCAGGAATAATTTTAGTACAATACACTTTGTTATTGTCTGTTAATTCTGTTAAGAAACTGGGAACCGGGAAGGCTCAACAGAGCCAATACATATGATTTGGTGAAAGCAATTCTGGGATGCAAAAAGTCATACCAAAATGTTACTTGATTTTCCACCTTCCAGCGTCACCTCCAGATTAGAAAGTGCAGCTTCTACTTCATCTACTTCTGATTCATTGGTGAAATCTTGTGTCTCTGATGATGATGACAACTTGCTTACGTGATACTAAAATAAATCATCAAGAATCAGATTTGAATGGGCAAATTTATTTCAAATAGTGAGTAGCAACATAGAATCACAACATATGAAAATGCCCTTTGGTTTTCTGGGTCTTGGTGAACTGTGTAAAGCACTGCAATGCAGAACCTCTTAAAGGGAAACTGTAAGTCCTGTGTCATTTCCACTGCAACTGCTGACAAAAGTTTCCAACCTTATCTGTCAAGATTTATATTACTTCACTGTGTATCCATTCTGCATTCTGTGAGGTTGACTCTGCTAACATTCACATTTGTAGCACTGTGACCTGTAAGTGCCATCCACACCAGGTGGAAATTTGACAGGTAAGTTCTGTGGTATTCTATAGTGGCAGGCTGTGAATTTTTGGCAACTTCATTTAAATTTACAAGGAATTTATTACTAATGAATTGTTCTGCCTTATTATGCACAGTAAGGGACCAGGCCACGATAAATCACGTTAAATTTATATGTACTCCATTGCATTTCAGTCTTCACACTGTATTATAAGGTTTCTTTATTTTTGGCTGCTGTGAACATATTCATTCGTGTATTAGATTTTCATGAAGAACAAATGAAAGGGTGGTAGCTGGTATGAGAAGCAACACTTCATAGTAATCCCTTTCAGAATAGACTGGTATCAAAGTAATATCTTGTGTATGGTTAGCTTTAGGTAGTGCTAGTAAATGGTTCCATGAAGCGTATGTGTCAATCTGAGTAATGATATGCTGCCACCAAATTTATTTGTTTTAGTTAGCTGATGCTCCTTACTGTTTCTCACTCAAATAGGAGGCCCCCAGACCAAGGAGACCTATTGGCCTGGGCTCTGTTGAGTTTCTGTCCTAGCTTGTGCCTGCTTCAAGAAAACAGGTTTTGCAGCTTGGATCAAGTACATGCCTGTAGTGCAGCAAAGATCAACATTTCTTCCTCTGTACAGTCAATTTCTTCTAAAAGGATGGCCCAACGGGCTTGCTCATATATTTGGTTTATTCGCACGGCATCATACTGTAGCAGAAAAAGAACAACACTGGTCATTGATGGCAATCAAGGTACAGATTCACGATCAGCTGCAGCTAATCTAACGATTGATGATCTAACTGATGATCTAACATTGGACTGAAGCCATAGAAGTTGTTTCCTTCCTCTCCCCAACTTCTGCCCTGCTGTATGTTCCCATCCTTCTCTTATACGAGCTCGCATGACTGCAATCGCACAGTGACTTGCTGATCCAACAGAAAATTAACGAGGACTTTGTGGCTGAAGTAGAAGGAAAGACTGAGACTTCCCTTTTTGTGGTAGTAGGTTTTGGACTGGCTTTCACCAAATGTGGAACCACACTGAAAGTGAAAATAACACCACACGGCTGACAGGAATATGATATTCAATAGCTTGCCACCGCCAAAAGACAGAAATTCTTAGACCTTACTTCCTCTCTTTTGCTTTTGGCTTTTTTGGTTTTTGCTCTCCTCTTTCACTGGCTTGACGTTTGTCAGATCCTGCTGTGAACTGCTTTAATTCACTCTCCATTTTTTCAGTGTGGATTAGTTTAAATTTGTTTGGTTAGTAAGCTGAAGTGAGTCATGGATACGCAAGCTCCAGAGCTGGTGGAAGGCAGCTGACGGGATGATGAACCTGGGAGCATGACCTCTCTCTTTCAATAGCTTCAGGCTAAATAATAGCTCATTGCTATCTTAGGTTATTTCATGGCTATGGCAAAGAGTGGAAATGTCAGGGCTGCTGAAGCTGAGGCTCCTATTTGATTTCTAGTGGGAATGGTATTTCACCTAAAACATATGACCTGAACTAAAAAATGCCCTTCTATTTAGCTGAGGTGCCTGAAAGAAAACAGGTTCACAGAATTTACGGAAAATAATGATATGAAAGCCAAACCCCTTTCACATTTAACTCTTGATTTATGCTGGTCAATAATCACAGTTTAATTTCTTTAAATGTACCACCCAGGCCCTTAAAAACTTTGGCTTAATGAAACCACAGTGTCTGACTGACTTTTACTGGAATTAAACACAGTAAGAGGCAAAAAACCATATAAGTGATTTTCGAAGACTAAGTCTTGCTTTCACATGGGACTCAAATACTTTCACTGAGCTTTCCAGAAGTTTTTAATCATCCAGATACATTGAAACTAATTTAAGTGCCTTGGAGCTTCAGAAGGCTTGAGTCCAGAAAAGCTGAATATTCCTTGAAGGGCAGCAGAACATTAATGTCACTTTCTCTCCTATTTTCAAAAATAGGGCTTATACTTCTAGATCATTTAGGTTTAGTTTTTCCCTTCGTTTTTCTTGTTAGAAGTGAAATGGAAAGTAAACTGTCCTCTACAGATACTGTTTCTGGTGCTCTTCAGATCTCATCTTTACACTTAAGATCTTATCACAATGGTAATTCTGTGTCTAGAGGGGAAAAGTGCAGCTATAGCTGAGGGGCAGAATTAGATTTTGATCTCTTAAAGGCCTGTGACAAATCCTAGCTAAAATTCAGTATCTTTGTGCTACAGCTTCTTAACATGAAAGCAGCCAAATAGTGAGTAACAATAAAGACAAAGTTCTTACTTTTGGATTCAAATCAAAGAAAGTGTAATATTTAAAGCGTAGAAGAAGCTGGTCATCCTCCAGAATTCCTTGTTCCATAAGTGATCGAGATGAATCTAGCCAGCTGTGGAAGAAAACAACTCTCAAATTCATTTGTATGGGAAAACCGTCACACCTGCAAAGCTGCAGTGTTGTTATGAAACAGAAATGGTAATGAACAGCTCTAAGTCTTGCAAGTCAGGGAAAAATTCACATTTCAAGTCATAACTTGACTAAGTGGAATATTCATATAGATTTCCAATTCTCATTGTATGAACACAGTACCTAAAATCTTCCTCTTTTTTTTTTTTCTCAACTACTACTCAAAACATCAGGACTAGATGCCAGAAACTGGGCAGTAAGTAATCATTGACTTGGCTATGCCAGTAAGATTGTTGTTAACTGACCTCCAGAAATGAGAATTTAATTCAGGCCATGTTATCTTTAGAACTCTTGCTTTTAATTGCAGTATTTGCTGTTTTATAATTCCAGCTACTTTTGTCCTTTCGTAAAATGCAGGGACATATTAAAGTTACTGCTAAATGCCTCACAGATCTCAAACAGGACAATCCAAGGCTAGAAAGACAATCTTCTCACACACTTGCATACCTAAACCCCCTAGCACGCTGTATTCTTCTGTGCTGTCCAGTAATCAGTGCTTGCTTTTGCAAAATTCAAGAACTCACATAGTCTTAATTCATCAGAACTTACTGAATTTATCCACGTGTATCTCTACTGTTCCTTTAAAGTCTTCAGAGTTTGCTAACCAGTCTTTTGCTATACTCAGTGCTACTCACTTTACTGGATTTACTTTCATCTAACAGAATTTAGTCTGAAGCCTGCACAGTTGTATCATTCATCACTCTAAAACAAGATCATCTGATCTTGAAGAAGGAAAGAACATCAAAAATAGTGTAAGTATTTTCAAAACAAACCCTCGATCAAAGCACATTTGTAAGTATAAATACAGCCATTTATCAAGGTTTTATTTTCAAGGTCTACTTTGCCTTTAGTAAGCTGAATTTTGAATTTTTGGCCATTAATGCCACCTCTGTTCAGCCAGCTTTTAAAGAAGTCAGAGAGCCGTCTTACCCTGCATTGAGTTTGGCTTTGTCAGCTAAAGTCCGAGGCTGGTACATCTCTGCTAGTGCTTCTGGAGAACAGTTGGGATGACTGAAGGCAAGGATGCTGCAGTTCTGCTCAGTCAAGGGACTATCACTGAACCAGGTGATTGTAGAAGAAGCTGGTGTCCCACTGATGGGATCGTAAGTGGGCGTCATGGTTTTACTGTATAAACCTGGACTCGCTGCAAGTTAAAGCAGTAAAGTATTATTCCAAGGAAAACTGCCTTCAGACTTAGGTAGTCTACCATTTCCCATTGCAAAAGACTAGCTAACCTCTGTCTTTTGAGACACTACTATCTCTGCTGTTTGCAGAACCCTTGTCTTTTTACAGGCCAAGTGCCTTAAGGGATAAAAGTGCTTTTCCTTCTTCTGTGAGGTACATCTCATTTGTGTTAGATACAGGAAACGCTCTCATTTTTTCATTTCACTTTTTCCTTGCAGATTGCTAAAACTGTCCATTTTTTTAAAAGTCTGATCTCACATTTTTAAAGAGCAGCAGCACATCCTGTGTGCAGGGCCACAGCTGATCACCTGTTTTGTGCTACTGCCTTTCAAACAACAATGGAAAGTAAAACATTTACACAATAGAAGAATATAAATATACTGGGGATTTTTTGAAGCTAATTTAAACTCAGCTATGTCTCTGTAACTACAACCCTACACTGAAATGCTCTCCTTGGGTTTAATTGCATAACAGAATTCCTTCCTCTTTTTTCTTTCAGTCAGAAGAAGAAAATCTTACTAGCTTCTCATTACCTGACAATCCAGAACTTGTTGGAGAGTTGCACAAGTTTAAAATGTCCTCTGTAACCACTTCTTTGCTATTCTTATCTTTTTTCTTCTTCTTCCTGAGTGTATCTTCTGACTGTTTCAACAAAGAGAGTTCTTCTGACCGTCTGATATCTACAATGGCAATTTGGGAAATGAAGGAACATGAAACATAGGAAACTTAGAAGACTACGTCCAGAAAAAGCCCCATGATTAGTAACAACGTCTGGGGAAGCTCCATATTTCTCTCTGAACCTGAATTTCAGCAGTTTGAAAAGAAAATCTAGTAATAGAAATAGAAAAATAGAAAATCTAGTAATTCAGCGACAAGGCCAGAGGATGGGCAGCGAGGGTGAGTTTTGCAAGCATTCAGTCCTGCTTTCCTAGCAAATGTCACTATGGCTTAGAATATGAGGATGAAAACTCTGTCCCTAAAGGCTCCGCAGTAACCTTTGAGCATAAACTCAATTAAATGTATGATTTAAGAATAAGGAAGAACGGAAATGGAAACGCTGTATTTGAAATTCACTCCTTTGGGTTTTTTTTTTTTTTTGCTTAAAAATTTCTTATTTTACCTTGTTGATATTGTATTCTATTCTATACCAGTCTTGTTGATATTCTGTTCCCTACTGCAGTACTGATTCAGACATGTATTATCAGCTGCAAATCTAAAAAACGTGCAAAATACTTCCATGTTGGGTAAGCAAAGACATTTTAAGCTCCGTTCATGTATGAGAAGAGTTAGAAGATTTAATCTGAGAGAAAAACGCGGATAGAAATATTTAATTAAGCCAAATGTCAGTTGAGCAATTATGGCACTTTTATCAGAGTTGTTAGATGTAATAAATGCACAGTCCACTGCTAGAAGAAATTGAAAGCTATATTGTGGTCAGTGTATCATAGAATAGCTTAGGTTGGAGGGGACCTTCGAGATCATCTAGTTCCAAACCCCTGCCAGCGTTGCCAGCTGCTAGATCAGGCTGCTCAGGGCCCCATCCAACCCCGCCCTGAGTGTCTGCTGGGTTGGCATATCCACAGCCTCTCTGGGCAATCTGCTGTTCCAGTACTTCACCATCCTCCAAGTAAAAAACTTCTTTCTAACATCCAACCTAAATCTCCCCTCTTTTAGTTTAAAGCCATCCCTCACTGTCCTATCACTGTCAGATCGTGTAAAAACTCAGATCCCCTCCTGTTTATAAGCTCCTTCAAGTACTGGAAGGCTACAGAGAGGTCTCCCCGGAGCCTTTCTGAGGTGCTCCAGCCCTTTGTTGCCTCCTCTGGACCCACTCCAACAGCTCTGCATCCTTCTTGTACTCAGGGCCCCAGACGTGGATGCAGTACTCCAGGTGGGGCCTTGCAAGAGGAGAGCAGAGGGGGACAATCCTCTCCCTCTCCCTGCTGCCACCCCTCTGTTGATGCAGCCCAGGATACTGCTGGTGCTCCAGGCTGCAAGCCCACGCTGCTGACTCACGTACAGCTTTTTGTCCATCAGGATCCCCAAGTTCTTTCTGCAGGGCTGCTTTCAATGAGTTCTTCTCCCAGTCTATACTTGTATTTGGGACTGCCTCAACCCAAGTTCAACACCATGCATTTGGCCTAGTTAAACCTCATTAGGTTTTCGTGTGCCCACTTTCTTGAGTGCACCATCAGCAGGACTTCAACCATCCAGTACTCTTGCAGCTCATTTCTGACACTGTTTTCAGCACAGTGGGAACCACTGGCATGCACAAAAACCAGAACAACTGTCTTTTCTCAACTCAATGAAACCTCAATGAAACTCAATCCTACCTCAACTCAATGGAACAACTTCTTGAGCTAGCAGGGAGTAAGGATTTTACCTGAAAACAAAGCTGCTCAATAAAATGCTCCAGTTTAGCTGCCAGAGGAGATTTAGCTTTACTTACTGAGAATTTTGCAGATGTCACTGACAGCTTTGAATACCACAGAAGAGAAGCTGACTTTCAGTCTCACCGTCTTCATGTTTGGCAAGCGAAGCCGCAGCATTTTGTGCTGAGTAGTAAAGAGCAGCTTAGCATCTGCCTGTACCCCGCATTTATCAAGAGTCCAGTGGGTTTTCAGTAGCCAGCACTTTTTTTGCTCCCACCAAAGGGCATAGTCTGACCAATCTTGTGACACCTCTAGAAAGAAAACAAAAACAATATGGTTCTTAATAAGTCCAGTAACTAACATACAGACAAATCGGCTTTGGAAACAGTACTCTGCATATGGGAGAATTTACATTAAAATTATAGTTCCAGTTCCTCAGACCTAGACCCCATTTGCTGAATACTTGTTACAGGTGCTGGGATTTAACTTTGTTTTCCTTGAAGAATTAAGCTAGATGCTGACTGTGGCACTGTCTTAATCTTGCAGATATCCACAGGGAAAGCACATCTGAATGTGGTGCTGTGCATGGTCCAATACTACTTGGATTGTGCTGGGATGTGGAATAATAATAAGGGGACCCACTCTGCAACTCAACAGCGTGAGCTCAAAATACCTCGTGCACACGCAGATGGGCACAAGTTCTTCCATGGTCTCCTGCAAAGCACTGCTGAACAGATCATCTCTTTAGCCTTAAGAACCAGCAGTAAGTTCCTTGAGGTTTTGGTGACATGCAGCAAAAGTCTCTTTCAGTGATTCAGTTTTCCTCGTTGACTGCACAGTTAATCAGGATGCTCACAAGAACAAGATTTACTGTGTTGGCAGTAAGCCCTGTACCAATCAGGAGAGTGTTAACAAGCTCTAACAAATAAGATGGCCTCTACCACACAGGATAAAGAAACTTACAAGAGAAGTACAAACTTGTAAGGGAGGTAGAGTCAGTATGCTGTGATGTGGTACAAATAAATCTTTCAATGGTCTCTGCAGAAGAGCAGACTGATGAGGCTGACTGAGGACAGCCAGTGGTTGACTACAAAAGCATCTCAGTGAAAAGACAGCTGCCAAAAGATAACTGTCTTGTTTCACTAATATGGACTTGCATTTGTTTTGATTAAATAAAAATGTTGGGGTCCTTTCTACTTTGAAAACTATGCAGACAAAGAAAAGCTCTGAATCAAGATAGGAGATAGAAGACTTTGTGAGTTCCATGGAGGATTTTGGAAGGGTGAACAATAGCTTTAGTCTGATTAGTTTTGAGCCCTTAGCTATCCTGACATGAAAGATGACAAAACCTTGACTAAATGAGATTGAAAAGCACATACATTGATTAAGGAAAGAGACAAAACATTGCTGCTCTTAATTCCACGGGGACATCTGCAATTAAATGGATTAAAGGAAAGCTTCACATATTATTTTAATAACACCATACAAATGAAACGGTCTTTACTCACTGATTTGTTCCACTAATTTCAGCATCACTCCTCCAATATGAAGGTCCCCTGTGACCCGCAGTGTAAATTCCTTTTGCTCTTCTTCACACTGATGATCAACTATCACCAAGAGCTCCCAGGTGTTAGACCCGTAAGCACTTGAGGAAATCATTTTCCAAAGATCTGTGCAAGCTCTGCAAAAACCAAACAAAAAGGGTATTTTTTTCCTTATTTTTTCCTCTACTCTTTGAAAGTAACGGATATCTTCACAGTCTCAAAACATATCCATACTGCCAAGATTTCAGAGTAGCCTTAGTAGGAAATTCAGATTTGTTATCTTGTTACCCCTGAACTAAACTCTGTTCTTGTGATTACTCTTGCAAGACAGAGTGGGATTTTTTTAAATTCTGGATGTATTTTTTTTCCCTAACTCAATTGTCACTCATAGGGTAGAAAGAGCCCAATTTCATTCCGGTTTCCCCAATGCCAGGGACACTGCAAATAGTTGTAGGTGGAATCTGTTCCGGCAATCTATCCAGTGAAGAGAGGAATTTTGTTGACTTTTACACTCACGGCTGTAATTTTCACTGCAAATAAAAGTTTACATTTAGAGCAAAAGGCAGAAGAGTTCTACCAGAGTATTTTACCTATTAGGGTAGGTGTGTGTGGGAGTGTACAAACAACTTTAGTGGCTCTTTGCCAGCAACATCAAGGCACGTAGCAGCAGTTCCAGCTGACTGTCTGCTTCTGCAGGGATGAAAGCACGTATCCTGTCTCAGCATGGTGAATCACCTGAGATTCCACCAGGCTCCTGCCAGGACAGGTACATAGTAATCATGCCAAGCCAGACTAGAAGAGATGCTCACAGTAGAAGCAAAGCAGGTTATCATCAGTAGAGTTTTGCTAATTAGTGAAGAAGGAGCTTGTAGGCACACAGTGCCTGACGCTGCATGAAGCATTTGGGATATTTACCCAGTGAAAGAAGACAGCAGATTATCACTCAGGGTCCCATCAAACTGAACCCTAAGAAACAAACCTTTACAGTGGAAGTGTAGGCAATAGAGTGGATGACTTCCATTTAACGCAGACATTCAGCAATGTCTGAGAGTTCAAGTCACAAACAAAGACTTTGCCTATGGTGCTGTACACAGACTGCTTGAACATATAAATCAACTAGTACTTGTTTACAAAGAAGGCTAGAAGGGACACAGCAATGCTAACAGACTTCTGTAGATCCTTAAAAAAAACAACATTTAGCAGTTACATCATTTAGCCTAAGTTAGGTCAAAATATAAGATCAAGGCCCATTCTCACAGGTGAGGAGTGGCAGAAGGAATGAACACAGCACTGATCACAGGACAAAAGCAGACTTGTTTAGGTTATATGAATGTAAAATGAAGCTAAGGGTTAAGCACTTCATGCCTAGAAACAGGGTTTTCTAGTTTTTATTCCACCTATGCACCAAATTCATAATAATACAGCTTTATGTTACTGATTAGATAACAAAGGAGGGTTTATGTGCCAAAAGATACTATTTGAAGGCAGAGCCGAGTTCAATGTTCAGAGGTTCCTTTCCAGAGGCACAAAGAGGCTCAACAGCCAACCTGTTACTGCTTAATCTTCTCCAGACTTTCAAATGTTCTTCCTAACTTCTTACAGCTTAAAAATTTCAATAGGAAGACTTCTGATTTTTTGTTAAATTACATATAATTTACATTTTATGTAATGTACATGCAATTTACATTACAATAATATGTAGTATTTGTACTATGGAGTATAGTATAAAGTCATCTAAGCATTTCAGTCAAGTTCTTTGAAAATCTGTTCTCAGAATACCACTGTTTCTGGTTTCTTGGTTTCTAACTCCTTTGGGTTGAGGCCATACTTTGTGGCAATCCTACTGACATAAAACTGGATATCTAAGGGATAATACAAATATGGTGGCAATGACAAATCTACTACTAAGAAAGAATGATTCCAAATGTAAAGGCAATGAAAACGTATGTGTTAAGATTTGATTTATGCCAAAAGAAGATGAATGATAACATAAAGGAAACGACCTATCCGGCTCAAAGCCATCATTGATGCAGTGGTTTTCCCCTAAAAGGAGTTTCATTGGAACAGTGCTGGGAGTCTGCCCTGCATGGCTAAAATCGTGACTTAGAACAGAGAGCTCTAACTCAGAACAACGAAAGGCCAATTTACACGGAGGAACAAATGCCATTATGTTCCTGCATGTGTCAGCCTACACCTTTTCACCAAATAGTTACTGAACTAAAAACTAACAAGGGCTGGTACTTAACCAAGAAGTCTGTTTTGTCTTGGTAGATAAAGGCATCACGCTGTACACTGGACAACACTACAGCTGTACTACTTCTGGGATAGAGCTGGGATTTTGCATTTGTGCTGCTGTGCGCTATATGGATTTACTAGCTTAGGTATGCTTTAGAACAGGGCACTGTGCCTCTCGTGGAGGCAGTGTTCAAGAGTTCCTGAATCCTGGCGCACCAGAATTCAGCAGAAGGGGAATACAGCATGCAGGAGATCAGTTGTTACCACTGCACTTTATTCACAGCAACAGGAAAGTCAGAACGCCACCAATCACACTCCTGAGCATCCGTAACAGCATCAAAATACATAAAAATCGACAGCTGACTAAGCATGAGGAACATGTATTTCAGTTCAAGTGCAGGTATGAAATCTGGCAGAGCCGTAACTTCTGCCTACACTTCTGTCTATCGTGAGGCAGTATTATTACTGAATTATTCTCATCCATCCAGCAAAACCGTATAGGTAACTTCTTTTTAAATGCACATTAGCTTGCCAATCCAATTCTGTGTACAAACGCTTGTGCTGATGTGGGTGAAAACGAGCAGCCCGAGGGCTGGGAGAGCCTCACTCGCATTGCGGCTTGCAGGGCCTGGAAAACCATGGCCTGAGAGCAGCTAATTCTGGCACCCCGTCATTCCCTGAAGCTGCTCTCCTCCCCACTTCCTCCTCGAGAGGTTTTAGTCTGATGATAAGAAAACACAACCACCAGTAAATCCATCACAGAACAAAGCCCGGTCTCAAAAAAGCGGCAAACCACGCAACGTGGACAACTGACTGTTGAGCACGAAAAACAAAAGAAACGGCCCGAACTGCCAAGAGGGGCCGCGCACGTCCCGTGCCTTAAACTTCAGGTGGGCTCTGCATGTGCCGGTGGGGCAGCGTCACGGCACAGCCTTTTGGCCAACGCAAACCTCCAGTGCAGCCGTTACACCCGCACGGAGCTCGGCGCAGATTTTAGCCCCAACCTTCGAACTTCGTGTGGAAATACAGAAGGACGTGACCTTGTCTGCGCAGGCACGCGTTCACCTTCAGGTTAAGCGGGGAAAACACGCAGCGTGCCGCCGATCGCCCCGCACGCTCGCGGGCCGGGCAGCCGTCCTCAGAAGGCGACGGCGAGGAGCGCATTCCGCACGGAGCGCAGGCCTTTGAGGAAGTGCCCGGCTGCTGACACCCCAGCGAGGAGATTTCCCGGACGGGCCTCGGGTGGGCTCGACTCGCACCGCAGCGATTAAAACAGCTCCCCAGATAACAGCAACAAACTCAGCCGACCCCACGCTCGCCGCCGCTCCGCGCTCCTCGCCCCGGCAAGGATTGCCCCGCCGCCCCCAGTCCGCGCCGCTCCCCGCTCTCGCTCGCTCACTCACTCGGGCCCGGCCCGGCCGTCCCTCGCTTCCCCGCCCGGCTCCTGCTCCCTTCGCCCGCACCTGGCGTCTCAGCGCCGGGAGGAGGAGCGGCGCCCTGCCCGGCCCTACCCGCGCCGCGGCGGGGCCCCGGGGGCTGCACCGCTTAGGGAGCGGCCCCGCTCCCGCCCCCTCTCTCCGCGACAGCCAGCCGGCGGCACCCCGGGGCCGGGCAACGCGTCCCTGCCCCGGCCTGCCCTGCCCTCCGCCCCCGTCCCGGCGGGCAGCGACAAGCCGGAGCGCTGCTGTCGCGCTGCCCCGGCGGGGGGCCGCTTTGCTCCGCGCGGGGCTGTGCTCGGGTCTCCTCGCGCCGTGAGCGCCGAGGGGCCGCCTCTCGTTTGCAGGTGTCCAGAGAACGCCTGGCAAGCAACCGACGTGCCCACGTTAACTCTTTGCTCTTCAAAATACGGAGCACCGACAAGTCCGAGTGACAGCCGGGGACGGAACCTGGCTCTGCTTATTGTACTGTCGGTGTCCGGGGGAGGTTGGCTGTTGCGGTCGCGGTGGCTGGGCCGTGAGGAAGGCTGCCGCGGGGAAGTTGAGAGCCGCCCTCGTGAGCGCGGAGCTGGAAGCCATGTCGGGAATGCTCCCTATCTCACCATTAGGAAGTGAAGGCTGCTGCGAAGAAACCATAAATATGATGTAGAAGTTAATATTTAACGTCAGAGTAACTTTTAAAAAGCTTTGACTCCATATCCAGTTACTGTTTGCGAATGTAGCTACGCAGATAAAAGCTGCTTTGAAGTGACTGCAGATAAAGGCTTTCCTTTTGTCCTGGAAGGCTTCCTGTGTGAGCTGGATGTCGGGTGTGGAGCTGGGAGGTGGGACAGCCCAACGTCCCCAGGGCCAAACCCGGGGCCTGTATGCGTGGGGAAATACAGAGTTACTGCTTTCAGGATGCTGTTGAGGAGCTTGACATCAGTGGTCATTGGAGAATTCAGTTCTGAGGGTAAAATGCCAGAGAGTAGAAACGCATTTGCAGTGTAGGGATGCATTATGATGAGCAAAGTGAGTTTGATTGACTGGAAGAGGATAAGTGCTTCTCTAAAAGGCAAATTCCCACAGAAAACCTTTCTCCCCGCAAACTTTTGACCTGCGTAGCGTGTGTAGTGACTGGGTACAACAGAACAAGGAAGAAAAATCGACAGAGGAAAACAGAGAAAATCAACGAAAACGTTCTTTCTTATTGAACTCTTATCCTGGAAAATGAGTCCCCAGAGGCTGGAGAGGTGGAAGGGGTGCATCTCTGAAACTTCATTGGGAGCAAACAGTTACTCTCATTAGAAAAAGCAGATGTGAAGTAACTGAACCACAGATAAAATCACACGACCTTTGGTCCCTTTATTGCTGCCATAGATTCAGCCACTGAACTGCTCAGGCAACACTGATCTTTTTAGATTGCAGGCACACCAGAAACATGTAAACATCAAACATCCTTTAACTCAAAAACTTGAAAACAAATGCCTTTCTAGACTCAGTCACTTGGAAGCACTGATGGACCTTTAATTGCCCTAACCAGCCTCACCTGAGCCCTCCTGGCTCCTGCTTATGAACCCAGTAGCAGCTGTTGAGCTCGGATTTAGGTTTTCAGTCTCTGTGTGAGTGATGCTGGTGCCTTAGGTGATTGTGGCACTGAAGGGGCTACTTTGCTTTCTTCTTCCTTGCACTCCTGTTGCTTGGGAGTGGCTTAATTCAGCAGTTGGCTGGCTGTTAGATCTTCACAGTGCAGTTGGGTAAGTTATCTATTTGTTTTTTGAGTATGGATATGTATACAGTTGAGCAAATAACTTTTCACAGAAAATGCCTTTGAGAGATTTGAAACTCAGGGCTGAGTTATTTTCAGTAGTTAGACTGAACCATCCTGGTTCCCTTGGTGGTTGCTCCCCATAAGACTTGTGCTGCAGACCCTTTGTAGCTTCATTGCCCTTCTCTGGACTTGCTCTAGGGCCTCAGCTTCTGTAATGAGGGGCTCAGCCCTGAATGCAACGTTCAAGGTGTGGTGTCACCAATGGTGACTACAAAGAGAGAAGGTGCAGAGATCTAAAGAAACTTGTAAGGTGCTGGGTTGTGACAGCTTGGCTTGGTAGAAACATGTTGCATTGTTTAAAAAAAAAACACAAAGTTTTTCCTCTTGGGGGGGTAAAACTGCAAGCCCTTGATTAAAGAAGGCAAAACAAATAAACAAGAAAACCTCAGCTGATAATTAATGAGGTATAAACAATGGTGACTGCTAAGCCCAGAGTATTAATGAACACTGAATTTAATCTCCAAGCCAGTGTGAGTCTTGATGTCTCCTAAGTTCAAGTGCTATTTATTTTGTTTGTTTGTTTTTCAGTCCTTTGTGAATAACTGAGCTGAGGGAAGAGAATGTAGAGGCTGATATCAGTGTTCTGCTGTGCAAGGTGCTATGAGGCATGTTCTTCCTGGACTGCTGTAAGGTTGCTGGAGATAATTCTGTAACCCATCCACCAGATCAGTTTAAAAAGAAAATGCATTTACTGTACACTGGGGAAGCTGGATGAAGAAGAGATATGGAAAAAGCCAGAAGACAATGAAGTCTGGGTAAGTTCTTGAGTCTAATATGAACTTTTACAAGATGTAGGTATCAGGAAAAAAGTGTTTTTTTTTTTTTGTTTTTTTTTTTTTTTTTTTTTTTTCAGTCAGCATTGAACAATACCTGCACTACAAAAGGCAGTGATGCTTTACTTCTGAAAAGTTGCAGAGTTAAAGTATGTTTTGGGGGCAGAGTGCTCATTTTCATCTATCTCGCAGGAGGCTGAGTAAATCAGTTTTGGAGAAGTGTGATTTGTCCTTCCAGAATAGTGAATGGGGAAGACTGTAATTGAGCAACAGCTGTTCTCTACTGTAGTTCTTGTAGAAAATCATAGGAAGCCTCAGTTTGCATCCTCTACCTTCTTTATCAGTTTACATGCTAAAATCCCCAGCAGTCAATAATGGGGCTTACTAGAGGCAGTACCTGTATCTTCACCTGTTGATTTAGAGTCAGCTCATTTAGTTCCAAGTTTGAACTCCCTTTAGGATCTATTAATGTCTGTAGTAAAGTCTCTTAGTGGATAAATGTGTATTTTGAAAGCATGGGAAGGTAACGTGAGAAAAACAGAAAAATGTATATTATTGGTTTTCTAAATGTATTTCTTTTGGTACGCTTTTTACAGATCCTTTTTACTTTTATTAGGCCAATGTTTTAAGTTACCACCAAGCAGACATACAAGACTTTCTCTTTAGTCTCCTGGAATCGTTATTTCTTGTGTTTATGTTCCCCTTAACAAGCACAAGGCACGGAATAACCTTTTCTCTTGGTGGGTCTCTGTATATTCATCATGCTTTTATCTTAATTATGGGAAGAAAACTTGCTCAGCATCAAGCTTCAAACACTGTTTGGGCCACTTCAGTTCATGGATGCATGTGGTCTTCAAATTCATGTTACGTTCCAGCCAGCCGTACTTTAAATCATTATTGCATCCTCCCTTTAAGTGCCTAAGGATACGAAAGAATTGGTTGTTGTGGAGGTAAGTGAGCTAGCATGTTGCCTGATGCTTCCAAAAGTACTTGGAGCTCAGTTATTTTTCTGTGTTGTTCCTCTTGTGAATCTCTGTAACTACATGAAGCTTTGTGTAGCAGGCTGTGTGTGTGGTGGCAGTGTTTGCATACAGCTGATGTGGGATCTGTTCTCCAGTCAGTGCTAGTGACCTGTGATTAACTTCAGTAGTGCGACTTTGTGCAATTGAAGCTAACGAAGGCAGAGCTTCTGTTAGCTGTAAGAAGGTCAGTTTTTTTTCCCCATTGTGACTATATAATTGTAATGTAGTCTAAGCTATGTTAGCTGTTTGAGGTTGATGTTAATATGTTAGCATGAATGTGCAGTGCTGTGAGTGAGTGATCAGAGCTAATGCTGCGGTTTGTTACTGGTAGGTATGTGGACGAGTACCAAGTGAATACATGGAAGGAGAAAGTCATGAATAGCAGAAGCATGACTTGCAGGTGAAGGGAAAATAGCATCTCTTTCTCATTGACATGCTCACTGCACCTGCTTTGGTCAAGAAAAGTTTAGACTGCAGTGATGCCACGATCAAATACTTCCTTCCTCTCTGTAAACAAACTTTCCCAACCAAATTGTGTCGGGCTGAGTCAAATGTGGATCCGGAGAACCACAGGGGGCAGGGTGTGGGAAATTGTCAACTCACTGCAAGCGTGGATTTTCCTCACTTCTTCTTAGATGCTTACTCACTTCAGCTTTTCTCAAGTCATGGGAGAGTTCCCTGAGTTTGGAACGCAGGAGATGAATGCTGAATGTAGCCTTTGAGGTAAAAGCTGCATAAGACTTCTGTAAAATACTGACAGATGGCCTTGTAAGTATCTGACACCTTTGGTCTTCATGAAGTCTTGAA